AAAGGAAGTATTCAATGTTAATTGATATAATGTCGTAGATATATCTGAATGTTGATTTGAAGACCTTTGCAAATGTTTTTCTTGATGTAGAAGTTTTTAGTCCCCTACCAGTGAAACCGAATGGGACTATAGGTTTCCTCTGCGTCCGTCCGTCCGTCCGTCTGTCTGTCTAGCTGTCCGTCCGTCCGTCTGTCTGTCTGTCCCACTTTGTTTTCCGCACTTTTTTTCTAAACGCTTGCAGGTATTGAGCTTAATTTTGCTATGCGAATGTATCTTGATGAGTTACAGATCAATTTTGAATTTCGCATCGCTTAATTGATTTTTGACAGAATTGTGGCATTTTTAATTTTTCACATTCGTTTCATTAAGATCGGGTTCGTGCTGCGCTAACTTCCGATGGTCGACATAAATACGAAGCGAGAAAAAGACGTTAGAAACATGAGTTGAATTTTCGCCTTAATGTGGATTATTTAATTAGGTTTAAGGCATTCACAACCTAAAAATCATGCAGTTTTACCATGGACGTAAGTTTTGCATATTATAAAATGACATTCTGAAGAAAAAGGGGAACCCGGTAGGGGATATGTATTGCTCATGCAATACTCTCAGAATGCTTGTTGAATAAATTTTCCTCCATAGGAATATATAAACAATTTATCTTTTAAAGGAACACAATTAGTGCCCATCGGAATTCCAACAGTTTGTTGAAAGACCTGCATGGTCTTCAAGGACTACATACCTTTAAATGTTGTCAATTATAGGAACTCCAGCATCTTTTTAATGTAAACTTCGAAGTACTTATGTTTAGTATCAGAGTGGTTTTTAGCTAAGTATTTTAATTTCTTGATGATCAAACACACAGGGTACAAAAATGAGGAAGCCGAGTAAATCTTGTTTCTAATTATCGTGTGGAATAGTTATACTAGAGGTTATATAATGTGTTGAAAAGTACGATTCGGTGTTATTGATTTAGGTAAAAACAATTGTGATATCAAATTTTCTAAAGTGTCTTGGAATTTTTAAGTTTCCACATCTGATTTATATCACTTCTCGATTATTTGGTGTACAATAAGAAGATTTTTCTTCACTGCCTATTATATTTTAGTAATGAGGAGGAAAAAATGTATCGCATTTACTGGAACCCGTTATGTACATGTATCTTTGTGATGATTTTTATGATGATTAAGATTATAGGTAGGTTTTAAAAATTCAATTTAATTTGAATTCTGTGAATATCAATATGAAACCACAAGTGTTTCCTTTTTTTTATTTTATTAGAACATTAAGACATTAATATTTTTCTTTATCTGTAAAGTAGGCAACCAGATAAAGAGGACTTGCCGACGACACCGCTATAATTTGGCCCTCGAGTTTTCTCCTCTGTACACGTGGTCACCGACATTAACATCTGAAGTAGCTAAGCCATTACTGCAATGGTTTTCATCGCTCGTATTAAGACCCTCTTCGAAAACATGATCCTCTACGATTTCCATTTAAAGTTAGTTCAAGTACAGCCTTTGGGATTTTATCACCACCTCTAGGTATGCATACAGAAAAGTGGAATGCATATACTCCTGTTATAAGTGTAATGAAAATTCTATCTCCTTTGTTTCTAACCGCTACCTCTATTGATGTGAACGACGTCATACACAATGGGGTGGTGGATAGATAGATCTGAAGCAGTGGAATTCGAAAGGTAGGCGTAGAAAGCAACAGCAGAGACAGGATACGTCTGTGAGGGTACTGAAATTAATTAAGATTGAAATACTCTCTTATTTTGATGAGATAGTTATGTGATATTTAAAAGCAATTCTTCACGAGTTTAGTATTTTTAAACATCGCATTATATTTATTGCATGTTTAGGTGAAAATTAGTTACTTGTATTTATGTTTTCGAAAACTTTTATATGCAAAAATCTACTTAAGCATTTCTATATAAAAAAACTATTATTAATTTTCTTGACCAATTTTCATTTTAAGATTGAAGTTCTAAATAATTCATCTTGATACTGTAGATCACTAAATTTTCGCGACACCTTATTTTCGCGAGATAGTCATTAACATCTGATTTGCGAGACAAAATGTTCGCGAATTGTGGTCATTGCTCTATATATTCTTAAGGAATACTATTATACGCGAGAATTAAATTTTCGCGAGCACACTGTCTCGCGTAATTACGCGAAAATTGTTGCGCCTCCCACCTCGGGAGAGAGTGGGGCAACTGTGTGGGCTTTCCACTCTCGTATGTTAACTTGTAAATTAATAATTAAGTCAGGATAAAAGTTCAACAAATAAAATTTATTTACACTATGTACAATTAAATGTAAGTATTGTTATAATAAAAATCACAATACAATATATATCAGTCTCTTATAAAGTGAAGTCACTCCCACAACCCGTAGGTAAAATCTAAATCTCCCAAAATAATTATAAAAATTAGCTACTTGTACTAAAATATACTTTCCTTGATTTAATTTAATTTATTTATACCTCTTCTATAAGTCCTATATAGTTTTAATAATAAATTGTAACTCCCATAAATGTCTCGTAAGTTTTCCCGTCGATGGGTCTCCCACTCTACTTATGGGTCTCCCACAGGGATATCTCGGCGTCTCAATTTAATATAACTTGACTAATATAATTACCCATCTGGTCTGCGTAGGGTCTGCCATCCCTTTAAATGATTGCCAATGATGGGAGCACTTCTAAAATAATAATTTGGAGGCTTCTGTATCCTCCCAACTTCTCCCCCCTTCTCCTCTAGCAGACGAAATTTTCGCTTCTTTATAATTATACCTTTACTGTACCCACTGGTAACCTCAATTAGCCAATCGCTGACCCGGAATGACCCTACGCCACTTCCGGTATAAACAAATCAGGGAAAGTGCACGCAGAGAAGTTTTCTAATAGAAAATCATTACTAATCATACAAAATGGGATTTTATCTTCCAAAATACGATAAGTACAAGTAGCTATTACGTTATTAAGTTGATTTAAACAATGACAATACAATGTTCAAAGACGAAACGTGATAATTAACTTCAAACACGCTATCGAGATCGAGACCGGGTCGAAATACAGTGAACCCGATTCCAAAACAATATTATATGATTGACAGCATATAACTTATTTCTTTTACAACTTTTTATCAATTATTTAATAACAAACAATCATGTACATATAAATATGCTGATAACAACTGTATACGCTGCGAGTGATTGACTAAATACACAAAAGTGACGAAACGAATTTCGTAACAAAATAAAGTTCTCGCGAATAAAAAGTGATTTACAGTAATTATTCTTGAAAATGGCTTGCGATTCTTTATAGATATATCGTCTCGTTTATTAGTATCTTGGAGATTGTAGATCTTTCAGTAAGATATTCAACTTCCTCCTCTTGATTAACTGAGCCGCCATCTCTTATTTTCGAAGGTAACATCGTTTCATAAGTAGTCACCAGGTCTTTAATAGAATTTATATCTCCTTTTAATCGTCTGTTTTCGATTTGGACGTCTATCACCATTGATTTTAAGATTTTGTTTTCTTTTTGGAGACGGTGGTTAAATTCTTCTACCAGCAATGAACTTTTACGAGAAGTGCTGACTTCTACAGCTGACGGTTTACTTGGACATTTAAACTTGTATCGTGTATGGAAGTACAGAATTGATAATGCATAAGAAAACCTTTCTAGTTAGGGGCACTAACATATGAAGACCGGGAGTTAAGGGTAGGATGGTTGTCGTTTTCTTCGAGGACAACTTTTATGTGCTTTGAGATAACCCGTTATTTTCGTTTAATTAAATGTTGAGCTAATTATTAATATCATAAAAGAACTACCGTACATAGCCCTAGTGTAAAAGTAAGCGTCAACTGTAAAAGTCAGCGCTCCTCGTAAAAGTCCAATAGCAATAAACGATACTCCATTTCTTTTTTCTAAGCATCAGGTTTAAAACTTCTTGCTTCATGCACCCAGTAGCGATAAAAGAATACACGCCAAGGTCTTATTTGTCATATTCGTCATGCAGTACATATTACTTGAACTTTGCTGATAAGAATATACGAAAATGTCGTTTTCGGTGAATATCTGAACTTTGAGACCTAGTAACCAAAGAAAACCGACTGAAGATGGTTAAATATTTCTTTAACATAGAAAAATCTGAATATACTGGAAGAAATTTACCATATGCGGTTGATAAGGGTGTATATATTGCTACACAAGTAAGGGAAGGTGAAGATTTAAAATTGAAATTAAGACGTTTGTCATAAAGTTTTGTTTTAAAATTATCATTAACATCCTAAGGCTTTTTCATGTAAAATATCCAAAATACATGTACGAAACAATTGTGTCAGACTCTATGGTATTTGTTATTTCAAATCATGGGAACTCTCACAGATTGTTGGTAGTGATGTTTCCTAAAACCATAGAATTTGTCAATAAAAAATTCATCTTTTAATACCATATCAGAGTACTTTTGCATACAATCAAAATATTTTTGATAAAATGATTTTGCAAATGGCGCATGACAAGGATGGTAGACTTACAAGTTCCAAAGTGATACAAAATGCCCGACCTCTAATTTATCATGGGAAATGGTCGTATAAAATGTTGAATAGTCATACATTTTAATGTTATTGAATTGGGTAAATTTTTGTGAGTTTTTAATTATTCAAAAGTGGTTTACACCACTTCTCGAACATATAGTAGTGGACGAGGTACGGTGAAATGATAAGCAAATCCTTCAAAATCATTTGATTTTGGATAAAGAGACTGCTTCTGTTGCAATACCATTTGTAACCACGAACAATACCAGGGTAAAAACCTGCACAGCGGACTTCTGAAATTTGGGGTTTTTTTTGTCTTGGTCAAGAAGGTCTTTTGGGGCTCTTGTCATGACACCAAAACTTTGTACGAGTACGTCAATTAATCCTTTAGCGACCAGCTGCCTACAAAAATGTCTCTTTGATAACATGAGATAAAATAGAATCACAATTTGGTTTTAAGAGGTTTATTTTCCAAAAATCATATACAATACACTTTCAGTTGGTTAGAAACCACCCAGAAAATGATGTTTTACACATGTCATTGCTAAACACATATCCTATGGTGCTTCTCTGTGTTCTAATAAAGACGTGGTCCCCGGAATTAGCAAATGTTACCACTAAATTACTCCCTTCACGATAACCCATTCCAGTGTGACTTTCTTCATTAACAGCCCCTATTACTTCCCCGTTCACAAGAATTTCAAAACTAGCATATGCACTACCACCAATGCACACTGAAAAATGAAAAACGTAAACCCCAGAAACAGGTGCGATGAAGATGCCGTCATTTTTGTTGTAGCCATTTCCTCTGTTGATATGACTGACGTCATAAACTAACGTATGGTGAGCAGTTATTGGACCGCTATTTTTAGACAGGTAGCTGTAGAAGGCAATGGAAGATATTGTCGATGTCGAAGGAGGAACTAAAAATACAATAATCAGAAAATTCAGAAGCATATATAATTTTCAATTCAAATAATAATTTTGCAGACTCTTGCTCCAAATACTGTATACAGCAAAATTTTCGTCCCGTTATGTTATTACCTCTTTCGTTCTGCCTTCTTTTTTGCAAATTAACACAGGGCGAATTCAAAGAACATAGTACAATTTCTTTAACAAAATTATGACTGGGCGAATTTAAAACGGGTAAAAATTGTCTCTTTCAACAAGTGTGAAAGGGCAAAAATAACCCCGCGTACATTAACAATAGAGGTAGCAGCTGTAAATGATCAATAAACCAGAAGCTTAATATATAAGTTTTATGTTCAGCTGTCGTTTGTAAGTCCTGAAGAAGACTTTATTTCTTCCATATTGTATATTTTGTAAATATTCTATTTTAGAGAAAAGGTAATAACACATGTTGATATCTAAACAAATAACACCAACCTATTCTTGCAACTCTTTGTCCATCTCTTTCCGGGTCAATACCAAATTCGTCTTCAACAGAGGTATGGATTTCTTTGTTTGCAGACTTCTTCATGTTTCTGTTACATTTCTCATCGGTGTCTTGGACATGTTTCCGTAAAATGTTTTTCATGGCTTCAAATTCACTTCTAATGTTCTCATTTTCTCGAAGAATGTTTTTCAAAGCAGCTTTCAGATCCAGGTTTTCACGCTGGAGAAAATCTAAACGACTTTCAACGGCTGTTTTCCAACTTACATCGTCCATACTATGTATGTCACAAATTTGAAGAAATAGTAAAAATAATGCTGTCTGGCGAAACAGTGTCGTTCAGCAAAGTTCAACGATTATACATTGCTAAGTATTTCAACATGTGGTTATCTGTATAACAGTTGACCTGAAATGCTTTGGGGTCTATCTCGTACAGAGCATTTTGAGGGAAGACCAATATTCCATTTTCAATATGCGTTTATACAATTGATCGTTGACCAAAAGTGTTAACGTTTATACTATGGTAAAGATTAGTGTCCATGCAGCTTTCTGTCTATCTGTATGTCTGTCGATGTAAAATTTTTCTTTCAATATACTTTCGATCACTTCTCAAAACACTGCTTATCATGCAGTTGTGGTCATGCACTTTTGGTTAAATATTGGCAAAACTTTGACACACAATTTGACTACTTCAAGATAAACATTTCTGAGTATCCCTTGTTCATTTTTTATTATGTTGCCATAGTTGCAAAAATCGGATAAAGTTTAAAAAAAAACTGTTCTCCTCTAGCCCTGAAAAGAACTTTGTTTAAATTAAAATGCTATACAAAATTTCTTAGTAATTCGTCAAGTAAAACCCATATGTATTAAAAATCAAAATTTCGACTGAATTATATTCTCAGTTTTTCGATAACATATTTGGAGAAATTTTGGCAGTTTTCAGTTTCTTGTAGAATGGTTGATTTAAGTTTGCTATCTTGTTATATGCAAAGGTCATACTTACAGAATATCAATTTATTAATAATTAAATTACAGCATTTAACTGTTGAAATGTAATAAAACCTTTTTTACAATCCTAATATTCAATCAAAATAGGGCACAAATATGTTTTTCTTGGCATTTTTACTAGGAGAATCATAGACTTCAGCTTTGAACAAAGAATATTTTTCTGTCAGTAACAAGTCTAATTAGGTGTGATCAGTCGCCAGAGGATGCCCACTCTTCCATGGCACCTGATCCCACCTCTGATGTTTAGAGGTCTGTTTTTTTGCTCTGCTCCTTCAGAGCCCCCTTTTTGTTATTATTGAATGGACTTGGAGCTTGAAAACTGTTCTTTATCTCCATATATTTATCTCTACTCCATATATTTATCTCTACTACCGGTGATACCGGAATAAGTGTCAATCAGTTCAAATAAGCAATTTCTACAAGTTGTTTTTACCTCTCGACCCTTTGTTCAAGTGTCATGATAATGGTCAGGGTTCTTTCAATTTGCATTCTACAGAGAGAATTATTTTCCTTTCCAATTCACTTTTAAGGAACATACGAGATTAAAATAGTACACACATTCTAATACCAAGTAGTTTGTTTAAAGCCTGTATTGTCAAAATGATAAGTGACAGATACACTAGAATTTAATATTAAAAATTGAACCGTATGTCAGACTAATTATTTCGTAGATTCTGATCATTATTTTTTCGTGCTTTTTGGCAAAAAAGCTTCATCTATCAGTTTACCTTTTATAGACGGCTCCTCTAAACTGTCGGATTATACTTAATTGTCCGTTAAAGCCTTTTAATTTGGCCTCTTGTAAAAACAAAATAAAATCAAAATAAAATCATAGAATGCAGATTAGAATGCAAATTACTTTGGAGGTGTTTATCAGACACATACATCCTCACCCTCTCCCTAACCCCCAAACACCTACACAAAAATACACCCTTTCTACTCTCCCCCCGCCCTATTTATAAAACTATTGTGCTCTTTCTTAATTACTTAACTCAACACACAGTGCTCTCATATACGTTTTTAAGACATCTTTATTTAGTTTTCAAAGGTTTTACATTTATCTGTAAAGAAGCCAACCAGAAAAAGTGGTTCTTCCAACCGAGCTACTATGAATTATCCCACTAGTCGCTTGTTGAGTTCTGATGAAAACATGGTCGCCAGCATTAACGTCAGATATCGCTAGCCCACTGCTACAATGGTTTCCAACGTTCGAGTCTAGACCTTCTTCGAACGTTGCCCCCAGTACATTACTATTCAAAGTAAGTTGAAGAGGTACCCACGAGAATCCCCTGTTTTTGGCTATACACACAGAAAAGTGAAGGGCATAAACTCCAGTAACAGGTGCGATGAAAATCCCATCTCCTTTGTTATAACCATTTCCTCTGTTGATGTGAACGACGTCATAGACTATGAGATGGTGGACAGAGAGATTTGGAGCTGAGTTTGTGGATAGGTAGGCGTAGAAAGCCACGATAGATACAGGATGTGTTTCAGGGGGAACTATTACGAGAAGTAAAGACATAATTAGTTTAGGAAACAAAAAATATGGTAAAGTGACTGCTGCTACCGTGGCAACAGGAAGGGTGAATATTTGATAAATTGAAATTTATAAGAATTTCAAAATAACATTGCCTTATTCAGGTGGAATCTCTGATGGAATCGATTTAATTAAGTTGACATTTCAGTATATGTCTTCTATTCATTGCAATAGCAAAGGATAATGTTCCATTTTTTATGTCGTCTATCATTTTGGTCCGTATCAATTTGTTGATTGCAACGAAAACTTTTAAATTACTCACTTATTCTTGAAACCAATTTGTTATTAACTGATTTTCTAGTATCATTCAGTGATGTTTCGAAGATCTCAGATCTTCCTGGGAGAGGTCTAATATCTTTTCGGTGGACATTTAGATCCTCAGTACGTAATGCCGTGACCATGTCTTTCACAGAAACAAGCTCTTCTTTAAGTTGGCTGTTTTCTCGTTGGACATCGAGGACGATCGATTTCAAGTGTTCGTTTTCTTTTCGCAGGAGATAGTTGGATTCTTCTACAAACTTTAAACGTTTCGCTATTTCTTCCCTCCAAGTATCAGATTCAAATCCATTTGTAATACTTAAAACTATTAGAAGAAGAGAAAATCCTGACATTTTGAATAACGATATATGAACGTAGAGCGATTTGCCTGATAAGGAAGTACATGAACAGTTCTAAAAGAAGATCTACAGTTGCACGTTATACACTGATATGACAAAAAGGACTCGTAACATATGGCGTAATTATCCCCTTTTCACTCACGATTGAACAAATTTTCTATCCGAAATAATAAAGATAACTTTTCAAGGCACTTTTTATTTCTGACAGATACCAATGGAATTAAGAGACGTTTTTGTTTTGAATCAATATATTTTCTTAAATAACTTAACTGGTTATGATACTTTTTACTGTCATAGGTGTCAACAGGAATTTCTATTTATAACCAGGCACAATTAGCAGTCATTGGAACTTATGGAAAGGCCTGCTCTCCAAAAACTATGTAGATATTGTTAATGAAAACCGCAAGCATCGTTTTGAAATATATTCTTGAAATAAAGTAAAACTAACATCAAGGTTTGATTATGTCCACTAGAAGCTAACTATTAGACGCCGTTTTGGTATTTACTGCAAAAAGCTGATATCACCTACATGTATTCGAATACAAGTGAGTGATATCACCTTTTCCAATTGAAATGGTGATGTCACCCATTGAAATAGGTGATATCACCAATATGAAATAGACAAGTGATAGAATTCATTCGAATGAGTAATTTCACTTATTCAAATAGGTTATATCGCTTTTAAAAGAAGCAAAACTCGTTTATTACGAACATAGATATTGCGAATTCACGGTTATAGCGAAGTTATCATGGATCCCCCAGCAATATAAATATAACAATTTCCTTATACGGATATAACGAACTGTTTTACTGTATTTCCAATTTGAATCTATTAGGTGATATCATTTTTGGCAGTAAATACCAAAACAGCGCCTCATAGCAAACATTCATATGCTTTTCCTTTTTAACACCACGCGATGCATCAAATGAAAGTGTAGTTTAAGGTACCCGATCCATATTAGCCTCAGATTCAATGGAATTGAATGCATAATAGATATGTGTGGGCTGAATAATCAGTGTAGTTAGAACTAATTTTCATCTATTAGTATAAGAATGTAAGATTGGGACATGTCTTAATTTATTACCTTTTCATGCCCTTGACGAGTTATCTCCATTTGATTTTACTCAATAAAAATTAATTTTAAAAATCTGTACGGTAAAGAAATTATTTCTAAATGTTCTTTTATTCCCAATGATCCAATACATCTTTCCACCACAGCATTTTTTTTATATTTGATTGATTGATTGTATATTGTTTAACGTCCCTCTCCAGGATATTTCACTGATATGGAGACGTCACCATTGCCGGTGAAGGGCTGCAAATTTAGGCCTATGCTCGGAATTTACGGCCTTTGAGCAGAGAGGAATCTTTATCGTGCCACACCTGCTGTGACACGGGGCCTCGGTTTATACGGTCTAATTCGAAGGACCGCCCCACTTAGTCGCCTTTTACGACAAGCAAGGGGTACTGAGGACCTATTCTAACCCGGATCCCCACGGGGTTTGATATTTGAAGTATTTATTTTTTATCTTAAAAAAACTTCCTTCCTTCCGTAGATTTCAATGCAATTTCCAATAATTAATTTCTGCTTAAATAATATAATTTTTGGAAATTTCTCTAGGTAAATCCCTTTCTACTTTAAAAATAATATCAGGATATTTTACAAACAATTGATATTTAAGGTTAGAAATTTTGGTCCTAATATGGGTCGGATACCTTAAATATTCAGCTATAAGCTTTTGAAAATAAATAAAGACAATGAAACTGGTTTAGTGTCGAGACGTGAATTTATTACATTCATCACGAATATTACACTTTCAGTTGCTTAGAAACCATCCTGAAAATGATGTTTTACATATGTCATTGCTAAACACATATCCCATGGTGCTTTTCTGTGTTCTAATAAAGATGTGGTCCCCGGAATTAGCAAATGTTACCACTAAATTACTCCCTTCACGATAACCCATTCCAGCGTGACTTTCTTCATTAACAGCCCCTATTACTTCTCCGTTCACAAGAATTTCAAAACTAGCATATGAACTACCAGCAAGGCACACTGAGAAATGGAAAACATAAACCCCAGAAACAGGTGCAATGAAGATGCCGTCAGATTTATTGTAGCCATTTTCTCTGTTGATGTGAATATTGTCATAGACCAACGTATGGTGAGCAGTTATTGGGCCACTACTTCTAGACAAGTAGCTATAGAAAGCGATCACAAAAGTGGTAGGTGATGTAGGAGGGACTGAAAAATATTTTTTAAAAATTCAAAATAAACACTAAAAAAACTAGTAAAAATCACAAAGAAGACAAGTAAATTTACTGTCCATGCAACCACTATGTTAAAAGAAGTTTTACTAGGTTTGGGGTAGATTTACTTACTGCATTAGATTAGTAAATTAAAAACAAATATTTTTACAATAGTTCTCTATTTCTTCAATGTGTAATTAGTTCATTTTAACATTGACCTTGAACAGATACAGGTAGTTTATAACAGAGTTGTAAAACACAGACCTATTCTTCCAAATCTCTGTTCATTTCTTTCCAAGTCATTGCTCAAATTGTCTTCAACAGAAGTCCTGATCTCTTCGTTTTTAGGCTGCATGGTGTCCTTGTTACATTTATTATCAGTTCCTTGGACGTGTGTCCTCAAACTGTTCTTCATGGATTCAAATTCACTTTTCAAGTTCTTGTTTTCCTGCAGAAGATTTCTCAAAACAGTTTTCAGTTCCAAATTTTCACGCTGGAGAGAATCTAAACGGATTTCTACATCAGATTTCCAACTATCAAAGTCCATACTATATGTAAAACAAATCTGTAGGAATAACACAAAATACGATGTTTGTCGAAACATTGTGAGAAAGTTCATTTTTTTCACAATGCTAAGTTTTATGGTCTAACGTAGGTTATCGAAACGGCAATTGACATACATGTACAAAAGTTTGAAGTTTATCTAACATTAAACATTCAGAAGATAGGTCAAGATTTCCACTTTCATGTGTTTACTTCTATTGACCGAAGTCAAAATTACAATATGTCAATATATAGGCAATCTCTGTAAAAATACAAATAAAAAGCTCCTTCGAAATGCTTTAATTGTTTTAATTAATGACTTTAAAAGGAAGTAAAGTTACGCTTTTAATTCTTTCAAAATGATTTTTTTCAGTAAGTAAATAACAAGTTATAAAATCCTATTACCAACATTAACATTGTCATGAATTAAGAAAGCCGGCTTTAATTTCTGGTTAGTGTTTCAAATTATTCAGCCTTTGGTGGTATTCATATATATATATATAAATATATATATATATATAGAAAGCACAGAGAAATTCACTTTTTACAAGGATACTCATTCCGCCCCAGCCCGGGGTTGAACTCTCGACCTACGGAATCTGTCTCCTAGCAGTACAGGAACAGCGCGTTAGACCGCTCGGCTATATAGGCAAGTTAAAAAACTTGCTTTCGATGCCGAATGGAATTTCACAACGCTGCCCTACACTACACGGTCATTGAGAATGGAATGAGATACAGTTATTTGGACATTAGTTTTTAGAGGATTGTTACCAATACATGTTGTGATGAAATTAATTTTATTTATAAAGCACAAATTACAACAACTCTTAAACTAATATAACTGCCCTAAGTGAAGGAATATTAATATAGAAAGCACAGAGAAATTCACTTTTTACAAGGATATCAGCTTCCGCCCCAGCCCGGGGTTGAACTCTCGACCTACGGAATCTGTCCAGCAGTACAGGAACAGCGCGTTAGAAAACATATCTAGGCAAGTTAAAAAACTTGCTTTCGATGCCGATGGAATTCTCACAACGCTGCCCTACACTACACGGTCATTGAGAATGGAAGTGAGATACAGTTATTTGGACATTAGTTTTTAGAGGATTGTTACCAATACATGTTGTGATGAAATTAATTTTATTTATAAAGCACAAATTACAACAACTCTTAAACTAATATAACTGCCCTAAGTGAAGGAATATTAATATAGAAAGCACAGAGAAATTCACTTTTTACAAGGATACTCACTTCCGTAGAAAGCCCGGGGTTGAACTTCTTGACCTACAAATTGTCAATCCAGCAGTACAGGAACAGCGCGTTAGACCGCTCGGCTATCTAGGCAAGTGTACAATAAATTTAAAAAACTTGCTTTCGATGCCGATGGAATTCTCACAACGCTGCCCTACACTACACGGTCATTGAGAATGGAAGTGAGATACAGTTATTTGGACATTAGTTTTTAGAGGATTGTTACCAATACATGTTGTGATGAAATTAATTTTATTTATAAAGCACAAATTACAACAACTCTTAAACTAATATAACTGCCCTAAGTGAAGGAATATTAATATAGAAAGCACAGAGAAATTCACTTTTTACAAGGATACTCATAGGCCCCAAAGATTGAACTCTCGACCTACGGAATCTGTGTGTAGCAGTACAGGAACAGCGCGTTAGACCGCTCGGCTATTAGGCAAGTTAAAAATCTTGCTTTCGATGCCGATGGAATTCTCGCAACGCTGCCCTACAGTACACGGTCATTGAGAAAAGAAGTGATATACAGTTATTTGGACATTAGATTTTAGAAGATCGTCACCAATACATGTTGTGATGAAATTAATTTTATTTATATATATATATATATATTATTATTTATATATATATATATAGTAAGCACAAAGAAATTCACTTTTAAATGTATACCCACTACCGCCCCAGCCCGGGGTTGAACTTCGACCTTCGGAATCTGTTCTAGCAGTGCAGGAACAGCGCGCTAGAGCTCAACTAAATAGGCAAGTCAAAAAACTTGCTTTCGATTCCGATGGAATTCTCGCGGCGTGTCCTACACTACACGGTAACTGAGAATAGAAGTGAGATACAGTTATTTTGACATTAGTTTTAAGAGAATTATTTCCAATACATGTTGTAATGAAATTAATTATCATTTATAAAGCACATTTTACAACAACTCTCAAACTAACATAACTGCCCTAAGTGAAGAAATATTAATATAGAAAGCACAAAGAAATTCACTTTTACATGGATAAATCCCCATCAGCCCGGGGTTGAACTATCAGAGTTCAACCCCGGGCTATTTATAGTGGGTATCCATGTGAAAGTGAACCTATAATGGGAGGTCTGCCATCATGAAGGGAAAAAAAAATAACTGAAGTGGGATATTCTGATAGACTGATAGAACCAGTTACAGGAACTGACTGTAGATATCCAAAGAAAATATTTTATGGTAACCTATATAATAACATTAAAAACTTAAATTACATATGTTAGTCAATCAAAATTTTCTCTGAAACGTAATTCTGGGTGAAAAGGAAAGAAAATGTAACAAGCACTAGTATCCTTAAAGATTGTAGAAAACTAGAACTTCTTGTTACAAATTACAATGCACATGTTTACCCGAGGAATGAGTTATCCAATTTTACAATATAATTTTAATTATTTTCTTTCTAATGAAACCATCACCAAATTACAGGAAACTACTTTTTCTGTGTCGACCGACACCAAGGAAGGTGGGTGAACAAAATTAAATGCACTATGTAAATGTGATTATATGAATAAAAAGTGGAAGAAAAACAGAAAGTTCCATCATGTAGGACAAAACATAAAAACTTTAAGATGAATATTTGTGTTGATGTCAAACCAACTAAACTTATGATTAAGCAACTCGTATTTAAACTATCGTTTTCTTTTTCAGTTTCATATCAACTGGTGACAATAATGATGCACTCATTTTGCATAAATCAAAGAAAAATATAGTTACTCTTTTTGAATATTGAATAGTTGGTATTTTATTATCGGTACATCAACCAACCAGAAAATGAGGTTCGTCCATTTGGAGCACTATTAATAGCCCCACGAGTTTCTTCAAATGTTCTAATGAAAACGTGGTCACCAGAGTTCACATCTGAAATAACAAGTCCACTAGTGCAGGGATATCCGCCAGGAGCGGTATTAACGCCCTCATAGGTAGATCCAAGACCAATACCATTGACAGTAACTTCTAGACTGGCCCATGGATAACTTGCACCTTGAGCTATGCATAGTGAGAAGTGAAAAGCATAGACGCCAGTTACGGGTGCAATGAAAATCCCATCGCCCTTGTTGTATCCGTTTCCTCTATTTATATGAACGACGTCATAAACCATGAGATGGTGTGCTGGTAAATTTGGAGCAGTTGCTTTTGATAGGTAACTGTAGAATGCCACGGCAGATACGGGATACGAATCGGGAGGAACTAAAACGAAAAAAATTAGCATGCATCATATTCAGGTGTATTTTCTCAAAAGTAAAATAAAAAAGCGTAAAGTCTATCCTTGAAAAATTAGGAAGTTAGCTCCCAATATCATTTTTTGATCACAAGGGTTGAGGAAGATTAAGTTGAATTATGGTCCTGAAAAACCAACACAAGGGAAATATTTTTTTTCAAATGCCTTAAGTATTATTTGCCATACAAGCATATTATGCTAAAGATAAATTCGTCACATCCCAAAGTCTCTCATTTGAAACACACTGTTTACGGTAGATCAGTCGGTTAAGCTCTGGCTCCGTGATCAGGAGGTCATGAGTTCGAAAATGAGCTTGAAAACAAAAGAAATTTTCAAAAGAATACACACAAGAATTGAAACTGCTAGCAGGGTTGAGGCTTTTACTTTAGACGAAGAACTTGTCATCCAAATCGGAAATTACAACTTTTTAAAAATTTTTTATGAAAGCTTGAAGGAGGACAAGATTTGTGTTGTGAAACGCTGATAGCGCAGTGTAGCAACTTATGGCGACGATTAAACTTTCTCAAATGCAAATAAAAAAAGTTGGTACCAAAGAGTAGACAGGCAGACAGAAAGACAGACGGACAGGACAACATCTATATGCTCCCAAATATTTGGGTAGCGGGGGAGGGGGGTATAAAAGAAAAAAAAATGTTAAGATATATAATCCTTGTTTTATATTTGGTACCGACATATTTGATTTGTTTTTGAGAAAGTTTTATCATCGCTATAAGTTGTCACACAGTTTCGTCAGTGTTCACAAATACATCTTTATTTGAAAGAGGTTCATTTTCCTATTTGTAAGATAAGGAAATTACCAATTCTCTGAAGTGGTTGACTTCTTCCACTGGACATATCATGGTTCTTAAATGCCTTAGGAATGTTAGATCTTTCAGGAAATGTCTCTGTGTTACCTAGGGTATGCTTCAAAAGTTCTTTATCGGTTTCCGTATCGCGTAACGATTCGCGTTTGTCAACACTTTTTCTTAGCTCTTTTAAGGCTTGTTTCAACTGTTCGTTCTCGTGCCAAAGATCTCCATTTTCTTTCAAAAGGCGAATATTTGATTCTTCGACCAAAGATAAACGTTTCTCGATTTTTTCTTTCCATGTGATATCATTAAATCCACGGACGAAAGGTATAAGGAATGTTAGCAATAATACTCTATCCACCATTGTGATTATATTCTAAGCTGACCTCTTGTGTGCAAATGACTAGAGACATAATGGTTTACACTTTGATTCGATAGTATATATGCAAAATCAGATAAACTTTAACCTAACCTTAGATAACAGCCAGACAAAAGAACTTCGTCCTGTAGAATTAAACAGAATAAATTGCTTTGCAAAAGGAGATTGTGAAAGAAAATATGTTGACTTGACTATCTTTGCTAATTGGATTATTCTTCAGAGGCAAACTTTTTTGTAGTTCAGTGAGTAAAAGGTTTTTAAAATTTACAGAATTTCCCTTACATGATGAAAATTGTGTTTTAACACATGCTTCAAAGTAAAATAAAATATCGAGGAAGGGGAAATTTAAAATTAAGGAAAAAAAGCCTGGAGATACTTAAGTTACTTAATTTTACATTTCAAAGTTTTTTGTGCAGGTTAAAGTTTTTGTTTCAGATTTAATTATAAAGTAACTACACTGTACAATGTATAAGCCCTATGATGACCAAACTTGCATGAGTGAAACATCTAAGGATGCATACTACCTGGCTTGCTTCAGATGATGGATCTGACCTAATTTTTACGGATGGGTAAACAGGTGAAGTTTCGGAGATAGTTCATTCTAAAGTATCTATAAGCCCAGTTTTGACCAATCTTCCATGAATGATGCATCTAAGGATGCATATCACTATCAGGCTTGCATCTAGATTTTCCAAATGAGTGATTTTGAGATGTACACTTCTAGATTATTAGTTTAATGTAAGATTTTGTCTTACTAAAAGAAGACAAACATTCAGATATGCATGCAAGACGATTCTAGTGTGTTTTATTGTACCAGTCAAGGTTTCATGTGGTGCATATTCAGCTAAGAAATGACCAGGTAAATACTTTTGGAGCAGGTAAACGTTTTGGTGCAGATTTTATAACTGGGTAACTCTAAGCCCTATGTTGACCGAATTTCCATTGGTGAAAAATCTGTGGCGGTCAGCCGGAGTTTCAGGGGGCCCGGGTTCGAATCCCGGTCTGGTCCGCTGCATTTTCTCCTCTCCCGTTACATTTGGTGCCGTGACCATGCCCTGGAATTGACAGGTGAAAGACCTGCCAGGGATGAGCCTGGGTTGGGGTCTTTGGAGGGCCAAAGACCTTTAAGGAGGGAGGAATGTGGCAGTCAGCCGGGTTCGATCGCCGGTGGCCAGATAGCTCAGTTGGTAGAACACCTGACCGGAGTTTCAGGGGCCCAGGTTCGAATCCCGGTCTGGTCCGCTGCATTTTCTCCTCTCCCTATACACATCTAAGGATGCATATTGCCAAGGTTGTTTCAGATGCTGGTTTACTTTACTTTTACGGATTAGTTGACAAGTGAAAGTTTTTGGTTCAAATCTTATTTCCGAGTTACAATATTTGACCTACAGAATTTGGAGGGGTTAATATCTTGAAAATTTAGAAAGAAGGTTGAAAATTTCGATTTCATCTTTAAGCTCCACTAGCCTTCGACCAGAAGTATATGTGATTGTAAAGTGACTGTCGTCTTTCTAATGTCTTTAGAAGTTATTCCGCATCACACAGTTTTAGGCTTATTTCAGTACAATTTGGTTTACAGGTTGACTAGATCAAAATACTTATAGCCGAAAATCAATCATTAATTTTATTAAAGAAGCTGCCGTTGTTGCTAAAAATAGAATAATTAGGATTTTTTAATATTGCTCCTAAAACAATTTAGTCTGATTTCAATATAAATTAAACTTAATATAAAGGAATTTCAATAAATATCATTTCCCCTTTTATTTAATATCAGAATTGTACCCCTCCCCAGTATAAGATTGAATATTTATGGATTGTTTTTGATTACTTTGCCTTCCTATAATTTTAAAGCAATACCCAAAGTGATGTTAAATCCATTATTTACCCCCATCCCCCCCACCCAAAAAAATGCTGATTTTTCTTGTCTTTCAAGCAAATGTCGTTATTTCATCTAGTTCATAATGCATACCTTAGTCCATATTTGATGTCTAACTAAAACGAAAAAGTTAACATGCATTAAATCAAGGTGTTTCATAACAGATATAATCCGCATGCAAGCATGAAGCATAGGCATGCTCCTAATATCCTTGTTTGTAAGATTTTGAACTTACTAATTCTCAGAATTCGATTACCTATACTAGGCATCTCGTCATGGTTGTTAAATCTCTTGGAAATCGTTGATCGTTCAGAAAATGTCTCCGTACGTATCACCAACGGTGTCTTCTGAAAATTCTTTACCGATTTCTGTTTTGCGTAGCGTTCCAGATTTGTTTACAATTTCTCTTATTTCTTTTACGTCTTGTTTAAAGTTCTTCGTTTTCTTTTCGTGGTTCTTCGTTTTCTTTTCGTAGATCTTCGTTTTCTTTCAAAAGGCGTATACCGGTATTTGAATTGTTAACAATAATATTCTCTTCATCATTGTTAACATGTTCTTTGCAAACCTCTTACGAGCAAGTGACGAAATATAACGAAATTCTACACTTTGATTCGATAACTGATGTATATATATGCAAAATTAGATTTTTTACCTATTAGATAACAGCCTGACAAAAGAACTTCATTATGCAGTATAATACAGAACAAATTCTTTGCAAAAAAGAGAGGGTTGAATGTAAAAAAAAAAATTATAATTTATAAGGATAATTTTTTTTCTTCCAAAATTCAGATTTCTTTCAGCGTCAATAGATGAATGGACCGGTCTTATTTTAGAATTTTGGAACTGACATTTGTTGACTAATCAGCTCAAAGTTTGACCAAGCCACAACATTTGGTGAAAAGTGGAAAAATGGAACTTCAAGGCACAATTTATTTTTTGAAAAGTTTCTAAAAACTTTAATTTACTGATAAGTTTCTGTGAATAATCTCAAGAGAATAATTTATGATCTCACACTATAAAAATATCTAAATAACATTTCCATTAACATTGAAAGAAATATTGATAAAAGTATGACTGAAGAAAATTAATTTGTGGTATGCATCTCAAATACATGCTTCAAAGTAAATTGACACACTGAGAAAGGAGAAAAAGGAAATTAAGAAATAACCTCGATTATTTTTTCAGATATATATAAATTATTAAGTTTTAAAACTACTCCAAATGACCTAAATTGATAGATAAATACTCAATACATAACAGACTTCGAAATATGTCTATTTCGGGAGGAGAACTATACCAGTTATATTAATTTAATAATTTTGTAAAAAAAAAAATAATAATAATAACAACGTCCTGTTACAGGACTGATTGGGTCTGAAAATTACAATACTAAAAAAAAATCAAATTAAAACCATATCAAATTATTTTCTGGCCCTTGAAAGAGAGGACTTTTTTTTGCTGACTCATTTAACGATGAAGAACTATTTTTTGTTAAATGAAACAACACAATTCAATATAAATTCAATCGTAAGTATTGTTAGAGCTTTTTTGTTCCTGAGTAAAAAAGAAACCCTTTGTTTTAAAACTGTTTCTATTTTTGAGAGTGTAATGAGATCATTTTAATATTGATTTACAGCATAGACCTAACCGTTCGATTTAGGTCTATGTTTACAGTTGCAGGAAGTTCATATTTTAACACATAACTAAGCAGTCTTTTAACTATTTCCACCATTTCACTGACCTATTCTCAAAGCGCTTTGTTCATTTCTTTCCAAGTCATTGCTGAAAGTTGCTATGTCTTCGCTTTTAGACTGCTGGGTACAAATCGTGTTAAATTTATCAATGTTCCCTTACAGTGTATTTTCAGGATTCAAATTACTTTTCATTATAATTTTTTTGTCTTTCAAAAGAGCCTTAAGATATAAGTTTTAGAAAAATTTTTAACTTCTGTAGGAAATTAATAGGTTTTTAAATGAAAGCTTTTCAACATGTATAGTCCATACTATATATGAAACAAATTTGCAGAATCAGCACATATATTGCTGTTTGGCGAGAGAAAAACTTGAGAGTTATATAAAGGATGTAAAGCCCCTTTAATCGTAGACTAGATCTACAAGTCTGTCCGTGTCTTTTAATTATCAGAAGAAGACGTTATTCCTCAAACAGTTATTGTCCCTTGCTTGAAAACTTGAAGGATATATAGTGATCGGGATGTGCGTCTGTCTGTACATCAGTTCGTCCGTCTGTTACGCTTTGGGGTAAATGTACCCATCCCTTATGTGCAACTTCTCTTTTACCACTGAATGAAATTAAATGCGACTTTCATGCCATAGTCTGAATTTGTATTTTAAGGTTTTCCAGGCTGGCTCTTTAAAAACAGTTTTTATATTTTTTATATGCCAGGAAAACGTCAGTCAGCGTCATTATGAAAACTTAAAGGAATTCCCAACAGGAGGCGGCATTCTCTGGTTGCTTTTAGATACTTGTAAACCGAATTAAATGTCAATGTGGAAATTTTCTTTATTTAACGCATTTCATCGCTTTGTACACCTCTTAACGAGATGTGGAGTGTGCTATGAATAAAATTTGATTTTGGCATTTATTTCGGCTTGCAAGTATCGAAAATCAGCTCAAGGGTGAAAAGCAAAGTTTCCAGTTCCAGGACTTTGCCATTGTAATTATAATGGAGGCAGGGGTGTATTTTTACTGACCCCATTGTGCTCACATTACATGTACCTCTAGTTTTTGTTTCTTTTACAAATTGACTAACCCAAAATATATTTTTCTGAATAATAGTTGTTGATTTTATTCAAAAAGCGGCCGTATGTACTAAAAATTTTTTGCAGTTTAATGAATGTAATTAAATCTGATTTCATTATTAAGAAAATGCATTGTTACACAAGCAGATTATATTTGATGCTCATTTGTTGATATTTTAAAATGCAGTGATTCCTTGATATAAACAAATATTATTCCTTATTGAAAATGCTCTCTCCTACTTCCAGATTTATTGAAATTTCTACAATAGTAGAAAACATTGATATAAAATTCTTTATATGGTTTTGATTTCAATATATGTAAGTGTCATGGTTGTCAAAGTAATTTTTCTTCAAAATTCTATTTCTCTCAGAGATATAGTTGAATAGTAATAAATAGGCGCTCAGAAATATGTGCAGCCAAAAGTAAATACTTTTACAAGTATTCAATAATTCATTTTTATGTTTACTAGTTAAATACAACTTCATGTATAAAACTTTAATTTTTTGTCTTAAAAACTTCCACAATGAATTTCCGCGTTGTTTTGAAATCAATTATAATTTATATAAAAAAATTAATATGCACAAATGCAAAGGTCATGCCAGCGTAACAGAAATGAAATTAATCAATTAGGCTTTTTGGTATCATCGACATCTGCTTTTCAATTAAAATGGAACTCGTAAATTTACTTACCTTGTCATTGGTCATTTGCAAAATTATTTTGTTAAAAGCATTCTGATTTTACAGTCAAGTACTCCGAAGTCGATATCAAAAAAATACTGGAGATTCTGATTGACAATTTTTTTTTAGTTTTTGGTGACCAGGTCTTCCAACTATATTTGGAATTCCCATGGGTACCAATTACGCCCAGTTATTGGCAGACCTATTTTTGTATTCATATTTTGCAGAATTTGTGCAAAATGCGTAAAAAGAAGAACACACTTGCTGTGGCCTTCAACATTAGGCTTTCATTAAGATATATCGACGACGTAATGTCAATATATAATGGTACAATGTAATTTCTATTCAACTGCTGATACGATGTATCCTGATGAGCTTGAGATAAAAGATAACAAAACAGAGTCTAACACATCTCTTTAATATTTGGATATTTTACTCGAAAAGACGTTAATGGTAGTCTAACAACCAGGCTCTATGATAGACCTGATGACTTAAAATTTTCTATTGTCAACTTCCCTTCATCACCTGCATACGGACTTTATTTATCTCACATAATTCGATACCTAAGATTAAAATTATAAGCAATTTCTAAAACGATGTAAATTATTGACAAACAAGTTGATGAAACAAGAATATCAGCAATTTCGTTTAAAGTCATCATTCTGTAAGTTCTATGGTCGATACGATGATATTGTTAGCTAATATACCGGTAGTTTATCATTGAGTCTGACTGACGTTTTTCATACTAATTGTCATTCCATTACATGTATTTATATATTGAATTGATGATGGATTTTCCCGTTATTTCTCGATTATGACAAGGAGCAAACGGCGGGTGTTATTGGTCGGCAGGGGATGCTCACTCCTCCATGACCCCTCGTCCCACTTCTAATGTTTTGGAGGTCCTTGTTTGCTCTACTCCTGTTTTGTATTGTTTTATGGGCTTTTGATCATGAATATTGTTCGATATCTCCATATGTTTCTTTCCATTAATATAATGCCGCATTTTGAATTACACATTATTTTGATTTACGGTACAATGAAGTGCATCGAAGTGGTAAAATTTTCCGTTTGGACAAAACGTTTTGGGTCATGTTTTCAACGTCAATTACAGCATAATGACACGCCCATATATTTAGATATTCGTCATAATGGTTTAGGACACCCCAATCTTTGCGACAAGCAATATGAGTTACACTGAAAATGGAGCTTTAAAAATTAAGAAGAGAGAGTTAGAGACTTCCCCCTTCTGTAAAACACAAATTGCAACAAATATGTACATATTTTTTCACTTAACATGTCTATTGAAGTTGCACAACACAGGGTTTGGTCATACACGTGTTTACTCGGTATTTTTTAGACCGTCAATTTCACTGGCTATTATATTTATCGAAAACCTGGTCTACAGGAATTCGAATAAACAAATTGACCGTTTTATCCATTTCTAAAAAAATGGGTGTGTCATAAACGTTCTAAAGATAGCTCAAAACGTTCCATTCGAACAGAAAATTTTACCACTTCAATGCGCTTCATTGTAATATGGTCCCATTGCATAAAGCATTATCATTAGCCTAAATCTTGCATTGTAATGTCAACATTATAAATAAATTTTAGAAATAAACGCACCTCGTTGTCATAGCAAGTAATACAGATACAATTTCTCTGATTTAAAGCCATAGATTGCAAATCCTTTCTTTTATATTTCAGAATTACCCAAAGCATGTTTTAAAGTGATATCAAATCTAACTTAAATCATGGTTAAAAAAAAAAAAAATATTTTTCCTAGTTCTCAAAATAAATGTTTTTATTTATCTCGTTCATCATGCTCACAATGCGTATGTTACATTGTAATCTGGACGTCGAGAGTCTAATCATGCACGTATAAGATCACAGTGAAATTGACAATAGGCATTTACAAAAGATTAACAAAAAGAAAAAAATTACCATTTTTTATTATATGATTATCTGTACAATAACCAACCAGAAAACGATGTTCTTCCATTTGTATTGCTGATTACAACTCCCCGAGTAGATGCTTGTGTTCTTATAAAAACATGGTCACCAGAATTCACGTCTGAAATAACTAAATTGCTACTACAATGGTATCCGCCAGGTTGACCTGAATTGAGACCTTCTTCATAAGTAGACCCAATAGCTTGGCCATTAACAGCAACTTCTAGACTGGCCCATGGAAAATTTTCACCTTCAATTACGCATAAGGAAAAATGAAAAGCATAGATGCCAGAAACTGGTGCCAAGAATATTCCATCGCCCTTGTTGTATCCATTGCCTCTATTTATTTGCACGACGTCATAAACCATGAGATGGTGCGCTGGTAAATTTGGAGCGCTTGGTTTTGATAGGTAAGTGTAGAATGCCACGGCAGATACTGTATGTGTCTCTGGAGGAACTAAAACGATAAAATTTAATTAAATTAAGGTGTTTTCTCACAGATGTAATCAGCATATAAGCATGAGGCTAGCTCCCAATATCTTTTTTGTAAGATTTTGAACTTACGTATTCTCGGAACTGGTTGACTTCTTCTACTAGGCATCTGGTCATGGTTGTTAAATCCCTTGGGTATCGTCGAAGGTTCAGAAAATGTCTCCGAATTTGAAAGTTCTTTACCAGTTTCTGTTTTGCATAGCGTTTCACATTTGTGTACACTTTTTCTTAGTTCCTTTAAGTCTTGTTTCATTCTTCGTTTTCGTGTCTTAGATCTTCGTTTTCTTTCAAAAGGCGAATATTTGATTTTTCAACCAATGAGAGACGTTTTTCAATTTCTTCTTTCCACGTGATATCATCAAATCCTCTGACAAAAGCAATCAGGATTGTTAACAATAAGATTCTAATCATATGGCCAACGTATTCTAAGCGGAACTCTTGTACGAATTGACCATAGACAGCAATACTTTACATTATTTCGATTATGAATATGCTTATTCAGATAAACTTTAACCTAACCTTAGATAACAGATGGACAAAAGTATTCCATCTGTTCAAGAATATGTATATATGTATGGCACGCCAAATTCACAAAAATTAGTAAAACATAGTTTCACAGTCGATAAACTAGGTTTATCGGTTGTAAACTAAGTTTACGAATTGTAAACTATAGTTAATAACGTTAATCTATATTTTACATCCGTTCGTAGTTTGCGATAATGCTATGTTTCACAACCGTTATACTTAACACTGAAAACAATCATTTGCGATTGCAAAACATAGATTATCTTTACAACGATTTGTAAACTATAGTTTACAAAGATAGTTTACGAAATTGATAAATATGGTTTACGAAACTATGATTAACAACTCTTAACTATAGTTTACGATTGTAAAAAGGCGAATCTATGTTTATCAACAAAATCTATTGTTAACGCTAATTACAGACAGATAAACTTAGATTTTCTTCGAATTTGATAGTTAACAATTAAATATCCTTTATAGATGAAAACTATACTTGAATCGTTAACTATACTTTACGGTTTGTAAACTATAGTTTACAGTCGATAAACCTAGTTTATCAATTGTGAAATAATGAATTGCTACCATATATATATGTACGAGGGTTTGCCGTAAAATCGTGGACAGTTGTATAGTTAGAAAATAAACATCACTTGGTTCTGAAATTTTCACTATTATTTAGTACATATTTTAGTAATATACACAGCAAATTTCAGATAAATATATGCATAAAGAAACAAATTATGAGATTTTATGCCATGTATTGTATCACTTACGGCGCTTGGATTATAACGTCAAAGTGTCTAAAACAGCGTCACGTTTTATCTTTGCTGAAAATGAAGTTGGACTGAGTCCGACTTAAATTTATGAATATTCATTGATACACATTCTTTAGTTTAACCAATTGACACCCCTGCTATTTGAAGATTTATAGTAAGTTACGGACAATATTCTCACCATCATTCAACTAATAGAAAATCTCATAGATGTGACAGCGTCTTTTGCTATTACATTAGGAGTCTGTATGTTTTTTACTCCCCAGGGACTCGATCAAAAAATCTTCGCCAAGAAAATCCTATTTCATTTTTATACTTAAGATATGTGTAATTTCAAGTCTCTAAAGGTGTCATTACAACATCGCAATAAAACTGAACTGTAAGATAAAATCGCCATTTTTCAACCACTTTCCCATTTCAAATGCTGAGAGACTGCCAAAAATTAACCAAATGCCTTAAAATTTTTACAAAGACTACAAAATTGATTGTAAAATTGAATTAGGATAATTTAATCCAAATCTTTGAACTTTTATCCGCTAATTCCGCGGAACTGGTTTAATAGAAAATATTTAGACTGTCACTTTATGCCTTACATTTATATTAAGTACCTTTAAATCCCGGAAAATGAGGCCGCGTACATAGCGTAAATTAATACCACGGAAAAAACACAAGTATTTAAAACTTTTATTTTGAATTCAAACTTATGTATTCTTTAAAGAAAACCTTGGTTTTTTGCATAGCGTAGGACATTTGTGCACATTCAAGCATAATAAAATATTTATTTTTGCCTATATTTTATCATAAAAATTATCAAGCACTTAAATATGATAAATAAACATTTTGAAATTTTCAGCTTAGTGCGCCCATTACTTTTTAACGCTTTGTCACGATTTTACGGACAACCCTTGTATATATATTACTTTTAGAAAGAAAGAATTTGCTGGAATACATTTTTTCATCTTTGCACATGTCGTATAAAATATATATATCAGACAGACTTACAAAGAAATTTGACACTGTAAAAAAGTATATTGAATGGGTTTATCACAACCCTTCTTAATTAAGAAATTTCAAGTTGCTGAAATCGATGACCTCTTTGTTGTAAATTTTCAAATGGAATAAACGGTTTTTAAAAAAACTTAAAAAATACCTATTTACAAAAATTTCCCCACACAAGATTGTCCGAAAATTTTTTGATTATCTTTCTTCGTGTATTTTTCCCCATTTAAATTGGGGAAATGTGAGCATCTCAAAAAACTGAAGATGCACAATTGCACTTTTAATAAATTAAAGTTTATATGGAAAGTACTTATGTGGCAAATCGAGACGTAATAGTAGTAGAAGCTGCACAATTAATGTTAATAAAGATTAATAAATGATAATAAATAATAAATAGTGGAATGAAATATGCAATAATCAAACATTATTCCACAAGAGCAAACACGAACCTTTTCAAGGGCATCAGTTATTTACATAGGTGCCATATCATTGCTCCATCAAAAGGGAAAAAATCCAAGGACAACTCATTGTTAATCAACAAGTTATATGAAAAATTAGTCAACATTTGACTTAATGTTAGATAGTGTTTGCTTCAAATCATGTCACCATCCTGGAATTGCTATAATTCAAAAAGGCTGGCTCGCCTCGTTTCAGAAACTGTTTGAATCAAACGTTTTCCTAAATCAGTTGGAAACATCAAATCCAATGTAGATATTATTATAAAGTATGGAACGTTGAAAAAAGTCAAACGTTTATCTTGAAGTTTTTACACTCACCTAAGCCGAAGGCTCAAGTGAGCTTTTTGATCAAAATTTGTCCTGTTTCGTTGTCCGTCGTTGTCGTTGTTGTTTAAACTTTTCACAATCTTCTTCTTACATTTCAACCAAACTTGGCACAAAATCCTTGGGTAAAACAAGTTTTTATTAAGGGCCAGACAAGGGGAGATAATCATGAATTTGTTAAAATTTAATGGCATATACTAGGAAAGATGAAATCATGTGGAATCATCCTCAGGAGTGCAGATCAGTTTGTTCATACATATCAAAGAAGTGCCTTTTTAATAGGAATATATAGGAAAAATCTTTAAAAATCTTCTCCAGAACCACTGGGCCAGGAAAGATAAAACTCATGTGGAATCATCCTCAGGTAGTGTAGATTCAAGTTTGTTAAATCATGATGGGGCCAAAATGGCATGGCAAGTTTTACATAGGAATATATAAAAATCTTTAAAAATCTTCTTTAATCACTGCTCAGGAAAGATGAAAAAAGTCAGGTAGTGTATTACATTTGCAAAGTCAAAGGTGGGGCCAGAGCAAACCCAAGTTTTAATAGGACATACATAGGAAAAATCTTTATCTTCTTCTCCAGAACCACTGGGCCAGGAAAGATGAAACTCATGTGGAATCATCCTCAGGTAGTGTAGATTCAGTTTGTTCAAATCATGACAGAACATATATAACATAGGAATAATAGGAACAACTTTAAAAATCCAGAACCACTGGGCCAGGAAAGATGAAACTCATATGGAATCATCCTCAGGTAGTGTAGATTCAATCAAATGGCATGGCAAGGATGGGGAAAATGGCCACCCAGTTTTACATAGGAATATATAGGAAAATGTTAAAGATCTTCTTCTATTACCACTGGGCAAAGTCATGACATCAAAATTGACATCAAAATGTACAAGTTTTACAAATATATTCTCAAATTTGATACAATATCGCCAGTTTGTTCAAATGATGAAAATTTTTGCTGTTTTGAAACATTTGTAGTTAAAATGTAAATCAAAATGACTCAAAATGTACAGAATGTAATCTCTCTAATTTCAAAAAATAATTCTGTGGTTTAAAATTAATTTTCAGAGGCGAATACGTCCAAATCTAAATCCAATGGACGCCCTGTGTAGGTGAGCTCAAAACGTAATCAACAGATAAAAATACTTTTCACTTAAATATCGTCAAAAATATTTGGAAAGTAAAAATGTACAATGTGTCTGTTCACATTTTGAAGTCAAAAATTGAAACGAAAGAAAACATGAAGAAAGGAATGTAGAGGTGAGAAGAATTTATATAATTTACAATTCCTAGAAATCTGACTTTTACATGTGAAATTTTATTTTCTCCAGAGGAACACAATTCATGGATAGTCAATAAATGTATAGTATTGAGCTAATTCATTATGTTCAATAGGAACGTTGTCATCTATTTTTCCAAACGTTTTGCACTGTGTACATTGCGTCTGAATACTCTTTCTGCATATTAAAACAACGTTTTTTTAAATGTTTTGGTTTTATTCAATATTACTTTAATTATAATATAAGGTATAAATATTAAAAATCACCAAATAATTCAATTCTCACTTCATGAGCAAATTTTTAACTGGGTATGTAATCTTTAAATTTTAATATTTCATCTGAGTATTTCCTGCAGTACATGTTCACAACTAACAAAGATAACTTCAATAACAAAAGGATCCATACATTATAGATTAAAAAAATCAAACCATATGTTTTATTGTTTAAAAAATACAGGGTTACTTGTAAAACAAATACTAAAATTTTGGATAAATATTGAAACATCGCAAAACATACAAAATAATGTTTCGTATTTTGAAACAATGCATATGGTTTTTATAAAAAAACATTAAGGAATTTATTTAGGATACTATTAATTTTTCTCTCTCCATTTCAAAATACACATGTATACATGATATATTCAAACGAAAGGATCGAAACGAAATGGAGAGAAGAGATATCACAGATGATTAAAACAACAAAAGGACTGTGAGCATTTGACTTCCAAAAGAAATATCGTTTTCATATGATAGACGGCACGCACAAAATTAAAGAGTTTTGGAAGGGAACACATTATGTGGATTTTTTCCAGTTCTTTGCGATAAATCGTTTCTAAATATTCACAAAATTTGACACAAGGAACTTTTCTCCTCTCCGAGAAAACCTTTTCCGTTTCCTCTTAACCCGTGGTTATTCTCCGTTGTAAATTTAACCTTTGGACTGTCACCGTTATGGATGTCGGGGGAAGGTTTAGTGAAGTTAAACTGTCTGTCTCCCTGCGGTGAATAATTCCCCTGTTTATCCACTCCACGAAAAGGAGAAGTCACCATATCCAGAGAACCATTCCTCTTACCATGGGATGACAATTCGAGTGAATTGTTTCGTTCGTTTTGTTTGATGATATCTAGAGAGGCATCCATGGACCGCTTTCTTGGAATATCATCAAAGGATATAGGAGAGTAGAGACTTCTATTGTCCAGTGACGGGGTGTTTTTCAATTCCCTTTTTGGAGTGTTCGTAACAGATTTTGGCAAAGCGTCGTCGTTTGCATCTAAATAAAGCAACCAATAGGATTTCATACTTCCTTTTCCCTAAAAATACAGAACAGTTATTAGTTTGTTTCCTTCTTTTCTGTTTAACAGCCATTTCGAGAATTTTTTATTCAAATTGAGACGCAACCACTTGTCGGTGGAGGGCTGCAAATTTTAGACCTAAACTTGGCACTAAGGACCATTGAACAATGAGGGATATTTATCGTACCTGCACTTACTGCAACAAGGGATCTCAGTTTACATAGTCCCGTCTGAAGGACCAGTCTCCATGAAACAGCTATTAGTATCAAAACAGAGTAGTCATAACTCTTTACCTTAATGGGGATGGATCCACGTTCTTCCACTTTATATGGGTGGTCTTTGATGTGATCCCAGGTGGTTTGACTGATGTGGATCTTCATAGCCTTCAACAGAAACATCAATCATCGATCATAAGATATACTGAAAATTTAAAGTGGAAACAATTATATTTCTTCACTTATTGTTGACGTGGTTTTCTTTGGGCTAATTATACCTCTCCATTAGTCTCCATCCTTGATGCTGTGTTGACGGTGTCCCCAAACAAACAATACCGAGGCATCTTTATCCCCACCACCCCTGCAACCGTCGTCCCGCTGTGTATTCCTGGGAAAACACGGATCGACAATTAAGAAGGGGAAATAAATTTGCAATACAAAAAAATACAGGTGAAAAACAGAACTTATGATTCATTTTTAAAAATCTATATATAATTATATAAAATTTAAAATTTTTGAAACATTAAATTTTCGTTCTTTCAGTAATACGGTTTTGTTACTTTTGTTTATAAGTTCTCTGACAAGCGCAAGTTGTAATTATCCTTCTTGTTATATGAAACAAAACTTCCTCGTAAACTCGTAAAAGAAAATAAGTTTCAGATTCAGAATAAGCGCCTTTACCGACACGAATTCTCATGTGTCCCCCAGTGGAGGGATCGGACAGTTCCACCATTGAGGATATCATGTCTAGGGCCATGTTACAGATGTTAAGGGCGTGGTAGGGCGTTATCTCCGGGGCGCCGGACACGACCATATAGGCGTCACCAATTGTCTCCACCTAGTGTAAATAAAAGGTTTACCATACGTATCTTTGCCAATATATTTGAGTGCAAAATTTGTTAAAACTTATTGAAAGGCCTAAAACATCTCGTTCGTATTTTAAAATTGTGTATTAGACTCTACTAGTATGTAAAGGATGTTGTTTGTTAGGAATGTATTAGGTTTTTTATAAGCTAGTTTGTCTCTGAATTGTTTCCGGTCTAGCCTACTCTCACAAACGTGAGTCTGACGTCAGACTTTCAGAAGCTTGTTTAAATTGTACTGCATCCGATTACCATTTTTGAAACTTTATATAATATTTATTTTCATTTTCATCCATATTTTTTTTTATATTTACAAGTCTCTCTCTAGATGAAATCTTCAGTTCAATCTTTGACGATTACAAATATGTTTTGGAAAAAAATACTTTGTAAAATTCCCGAGTTAAAACTTGTGGAAAATCTGACACTGTCTTTGAAAAAGACTCACTACTAAACTCACCTTATAGACCCCGTGACGCTCGCTGAGTTGGTCGAACTTTGTGTACATGGCATTCAGCATGCATACAACCTCCATTGGTGAAATTTGACTGCAAATGGACGTGAAGCCGACCACATCACTGAACAGAATCGTTACATTGTCGAAAACCTGTGTAAAAATATGGCAATATTGTCATCTGCCATAATAGCATTTACATGTTTGTTTAATTTTATCTGTATCTCACAGTTTTCATATTAATCTCAAACACTAGAAGAAGAATTGTTAATAATATTTTCAAAAGGGCACAGGATTACTTTATTTTGACAAGGCATTAAGTAAACTTTCTTGGAGACACTTAATGTAAATAAAATGCAAATCGCTTTTCCAGTTGGAAAAAGATTTCATCAATGCCACTTAACAAAGCAGTCTATTTATTCGAAACCTTTTATTATTTACTTTCGTGCAAACGATTGAAAAAGACAACACTTAATATTTCAAAGAAAGCTAGAAGAGAACTTTTATGTGCATTTTGCACCCTTACATAACATAAAATAGTTTATGTAAGAGGAAAATCCGTTTAAGTCATTACTGTTTGCAATAACAGAATACACGCAACTGTGATTTACACGGTATCGTAAATAATAATAATAATAAAAAAAGTTTAAATTTTAGAGCTCTTTTGAGATCAGTCAATTATTCAAAATAGATACTAGGTAGTCCAATTATACCCAAGCATCTTTAAACCTTCCTTTCAAAAGAATTAAAGGACCTCTTCTTAAATGAGACTTTATAGTTTACAGAATCCATGTGGACCCATTGACGTATTTTCACTTAAAATGTATGTTTCCCTGTTGGCGCAACCTGTTAGCTTTCCATTTTCAAAATGTAAAAATTCTTGTTAACTTTAATAATTAAGGCTCTCTCTGGTTTTATTGTGATCATTGGCAGCGGAAAAAAAGCTATAAATTCTATTTTGACTTGATGACATTGATATGTTTACACAGATTTTTTTGAACAGTGTTCTATTTTCAATCTATTTTAAGCTGCATTCTAGAGACCACTTTGTAATTTATATACTCTAGAGCGTTTCGTTTCGATCACCAGAAACTCATTCTCGCTGACACTTTTCATCTATTTATCAATGAAATATATGGAGATAACGAACAGTATTCAAGCTCAAAATTCCATTAAACAATTCAAAAATGGAGCAGAAACTACACAAACAAGCAAATTCAAGGAATTGTGGTCCCCCGCTTTCGGTGTCTTTGTGGGTGAGATGTCATTTTTTATGACATATTGTGCGTAATATGAACATCCTATCTTATGTCATTTATTTACAAATCATCACTGAACTCCAAGGTCAAGGTCAAAGGGTCAAAGTGTTTGAGTATTCAATGAAAGGTCTTCTCACAAGGATTACGTATGTAAAGTATGAAAACCATAGCCCTTACCATTCAAAAGTTATGGCCAAGGTTAAAGTTTTTTTGTAAGTACGAAATATTTCCAAGGTCAAAAGGTCAAGGTTGTTGGTATCCAATCAAAGGTCTTTTCACAAAGAAAACATATGTGAAATATGAAAGTCCTAGTATCTACCATTCAAATGTTATGGCCAGAGTAAAAGTTTGGAATTTTTGTGTAAAAGGGGTCAGACTCCAAGGTCAAGGTCAATATGTCAAAATTGGTGGTACCCAAAGAAAGGTCTTGCCACAAAGAATGCATATGTGAGAAATGAAAGTCCTGGCATTGGCAGTTCAAAAGTTGTGACCAAGGTCAAAGTTCTTGAAAAAAAATCTTACTCAAAGGTCAAGGTCAAAGTTCATGGTATCTAATGAAAGGTCCTCTTACAAGGATTACATATGTGAAGTATAAAAGCCCTAGCCCTTACTGTTCAAAAGTTATGGTCAAGGTTAAAGTTTTTTATAAGTACGGAAATCTCCATGGTCAAGGTCAAAAGGTCAAAGTTGTTGGTATCCAATGAAAGGTCTTGCCACAAAGAATATGTATGTGAAATATGAAAGTCCTAGTTTTTACCATTCAAAAGATATAGCCAAAGTAAAAGTAAGGATTTTTTGTGTAAAAGTGGGTCAAACTCCAAGGTCAAGGTCAAAAGGTCAAATTTGGTGGTACCCAAAGAAAGGTCTTGTCACAAGGAATACACTTGTGAAATATGAGCTCAGCTAAATCAAAAGTTATGCGCAAGGTTAAAATTGGTGGTACCCAAAGAAAGGTCTTGCCACAAAGAATGCATATGTGAGAAATGAAAGTCCTGGCATTGGCAGTTCAAAAGTTGTGACCAAGGTCAAAGTTCTTGAAAAAAGATCTTACTCAAAGGTCAAGGTCAAAGTTCATGGTATCTAATGAAAGGTCCTCTTACAAGGATTACATATGTGAAGTATAAAAGCCCTAGCCCTTACTGTTCAAAAGTTATGGTCAAGGTTAAAGTTTTTTATAAGTACGGAAATCTCCATGGTCAAGGTCAAAAGGTCAAAGTTGTTGGTATCCAATGAAAGGTCTTGCCACAAAGAATATATATGTGAAATATGAAAGTCCTAGTTTCTACCATTCAAAAGATATGGCCAAAGTAAAAGTAAGGATTTTTTGTGTAAAAGTGGGTCAAACTCCAAGGTCAAGGTCAAAAGGTCAAATTTGGTGGTACCCAAAGAAAGGTCTTGTCACAAGGAATACACTTGTGAAATATGAGCTCAGCTAAATTAAAAGTTATGGGCAAGGTTAAAGTTTTTGTGACGGACTGACAGACGGACAGACTGACAGACTGACGGACAGACGAATGAGATTTAATGTCCCCTCGCTTTCGCGAAAGCGGGGAACAACTAACACTGTTGAAGGTAAGGTCCATGTAAAAATATCTTTCTCACTTTTGGCCAACATTGGCAAAGAAAGGGAGATTTCGGTTGAAGTACAGATACAAGATCGGATAATGTATGACTTTCCAAAACATAGAGAATGCACGTGTGATAAAAAAAAATCTACAAAAATTCTTTAAAATGATCATTCATTTGTAAAATAAGTTGAATTATCCAATGAAACATTTAGTAAATTTGCTCATTGTGGTCTTAGCTAAGAATCTCTTTCAGAAATTTATTTAAAGATCATTATTATCTTTTAAGATCTGAAGATGTCGCATGTCGCATTGTAGTTCAGATGCATACTTCTATATGAATTATTCATTTGTGTACATGTACAATGTAGGATTTATTTAAACTCCTGAATTTTCATAAGCCATGTCTTTACTCACCACTCGAAGCAAAGGACTCATCCTTAGTAGTATCATTTAAAAAATAATTTGACTAAAAGTTTGTATTCTAGGATGCAAAGCTGAGATGAATGTAAGACTGGCAATGTAAGCAAGAACTGAGAAAGGGGCCTACTCTAAAAATATTTACTCATTGATTCGTCGTGAAATTTCAGGTTTATAGAGAGATGTGTTCATGGATGCAGTGTTTTTTTTTTTTTTTTTTACATATTCATTAATTTCTTAAAATTTAAAAAAATCTAGTGTCTCTTATTCTTTTTTGTAGAACCGAGCCCCAGATGTGTGTGTTTAAATCAGATTGGTCTTGGTGACAAGGCTTTCACAATCTTAATAACCCACATAGGTAAGATTTATAGATCCACGCTAACTAACAGATAACCAGGGAAAAACAATGACCATGATCTTGTACAGTGTACTATGAATATTTAAAGCTGGTCAAAAAAGGCATAATTTTTCCTATTTACGAGATGTCAAGACAAGAGGCCCATGGGCCACATTGCTCAACATAGCATTGTAGCTAGGTAAGAGTAGAAAATTGGTTTATTATGAAAAGTTTAAATCCAAAAGTAGTCCCATGACCAATCATAGCTTTGCTATTCTTGAGAAGATGATTTTTAAAGAATTTTCCTATACATTTCTTTGTAAAACTTTGATCGGACATTGTGTCCCCGCCCTACCCCCAGGAGTCACGATTTGAACAAACTTGAATCTACACTACCTGAGGATGCTTCCATATAAATATGAGCAATTATGGCATTGCAATTCTTGAGAAGAAGATTTTTATAGAATTTTCCTATATATTTCTATGTAAAACTTTGGTCAGCCATTGTGGCCCCCTACCCCGAGGGGTCACGATTTATACAAACTTGAATCTACACTACCTGTGGATGCTGCCATATAAATCTGATCAGCCATGGCTTTGTTATTCTTGAGAAGAAGATTTTTTAAAGAATTTTCCTATATATTTCTTTGTAAAACTTTGTTCGGCCATTGTGGCCCCGCCCTACCCCCAGGGGTCATGATTTGAACAAACTTGAATCTACACTACCTGAGGATGTTTCCCCACAAGTTTCATCTTTCCTGGCAGAGTGGTTCTTGAGAAGAAGGTTTTTAAATCATGCCACCAAATTTTCACTAATTCCCAATTATCTCCCCTTGAATGAGGGCGTGGCCTATCATTTGAACAAACTTAAATCCCCTTCAACCAAGGATGCTTTGTGGCAAGTTTGGTTGAAATTGGCCCAGCGATTCTTGAGAAGTCGAAAATGTGAAAAAGGTAACATACAGACGGACAGACAGACAGACAAAATGTCGGACAAAATGTGATCAGAAAAGCTCACTTCAGCCTTCAATTCAGGTGAGCTAAAAACAGTTCTTAATTACAATCATCGCCTGCAATATAGACCTTTGTGAGATTCTAATGATCTTTAAGGGCGAAGAAATCTTTTTTATCTTCTTTTTAATGATCAACTTTGATCCTTTTTTCAACCCTTTCATTTTATTATTAGACATTTCATACATTAAAATTCCTAGGATCGAAATAATAAACACTTTTGTAGAGAAGATATTTAGAAATGAATAAAAAAAACTTCCAGGCGACGATCATCTCATATTTATACTAAGAATGGTGTCCATGATAATTTTTTTCTAATCAGGATAATATATGTTTTACTAATAATTTTTTCCCGATCAAGAGGATGACAGGGGATGCTCCCTCCTCAATGGCACCTGATCCCTCCTCTTACTCTGCTCCAAAATGTGAGTTGTTTAATTGAATTTTGCGCTTGAATATTGATTGTTATCTCAATTTATTTCATTTCTTGCATGAGACAATGGCAGTTATGTGTTTTTATAAATATATTTATTTTTAGATTTCTGATTATTTTTAATTAGTATAAACTTTAACCTTTGCCACAAAAGTCTCCTCTTATTCACCTATGGCTTGTTTTCTTTACTTGCTTTTATCACATTTCTATCTCACCTAGCTTGCTTGAGTCAATCATATAAAAATAAATAATATATTTATGTTCAAGTAAAACAAAATAATGGTGAACGTCATATCTGCCACAACGTGGATTGATGTGTAAAGTTCTACATTTTTTCAGTTCATAGAGAGGTGTTAAAGAGGGATAAGAAAGACTCAAGTTATTCTTTCATTAGATAAAGCTAATCTTCTATTTCCCAAAAATATTTTAGAGTGTGTTGCATTCAAAAAATATAAAGTAAAGCAGAAGTCAATATTTAAAAAAAGATTGAATACTATCCTATTTTAATTTTAGGATAAAGCTTAACAGCACTAGGATACAAGTTGAAAATAATTCTCCGTCTTGACATTTAATTCCAAACATAAAATCAATGAGCTAATGCTTTTAAATTTTCAAAGCGTAATTAAACTTCACAGTCCATTGTCTTACCCTTCTTTTTGAAATTTAATTCTGATTTGTATTTTTATTGTTTTATTATTAATATAATACTCAACGACATTCACCTTAGTGATTTTGATAACTCATGTTTATTTTCTGCTTAGAAAACAGAATAATAAAATAACGACTGAGGTCGCTCGAAGGATCAAGATATCCTTATCTGAAGCTTAAATGTACACAATTAATTTTTGAATTAATGCTACAACTTTCTACACTATTTTAAACCATATTTTACGTCATTTTTAAAAAGAAACGTGTTGAAATTGCATTATGTAAAACTTTGATAATATTTCTCAAGCTTTTTTGCAAAGAATTTTTTTTTGGTACTTTAATACCTGACATGTCGTAATTGCAGGCTCGCCCCGCCTCAGTCGATCCGCCACTGGTTTTGGTATCATCTGGTAGAGGAGCGAGTCCGTTCTCTTCATCTCGGCGTCTAGTTTCTTCATACTCTCTTCTAGAATCTTGCTTTTCTGTTGTTCCTGTTGCAATAAATATGGACATTTCAATTTTTATAAGCAACAAACTGGCTTGATGTTAAAATTTACTCGCTGGTACATTTTGTTTAAGTAAACGAATCAGGGGGTCATTTTGATTAAGGAATATAAAGGAGGACTGTTTTTTTTGAAAATATGTTTATTTTGTGCAATACATGTAATTTCATTAATTATAAGGAAAAGATACCAAAGTAAGTTAACTTAACCTTATATATCAAAGTAGAAAACAAATGTACATAACTGCATTGCGACAAACGAAACGCGTTTGAATGTGATGGGTCTTTAATTCTATCAATGCACCAAGGCGTATGCTCAGTGATGGACATCGATAATAAAAAGTACACCATATTAATGATGATTCCTTTGATTTTTTTTTGTTTTACGTAAATAAACAATTAGACCCTCATTACATTCGCACTAAATTCTTTTCTGTACACCTGAAAATTACTAGTGTTTGTTTTGTGCATGTCGCCCAGTACATAATGCTCTTTAAAGCCTCCATGTGTGTCGGAAGATGATTCTTATGTTATTTAGGACCTTCCCTTTTAAGATGATCGCTTAAAAGTCTTTATATTCAATAACATTGACATCTACTTCTGAACACAAGTACTCTGAAGTTGATATTAAAAGGATGCTGAAGTTCCCCATTGATAATCTTTATGTAGTCTTTATGTAATAGAATCCCGATGGGTATGATTGTGCTTCTTTATTAGCCGATCTCTTTTTACATTTCTATTCAGCAGAATTTATTAAGAAATTTCTATATAAGAAGAGATTATTTGGCCTTCAACTGGACATTTAAATTTATCGACGATTTATAATCAGCTAACAAAAGTTACAAATACTTTCATTCATATGTCAATGAGATATATCCAGTAAAACTTAAAACGAAGGAAACATCAGAATCTGTCATATTTGTTTGTTTTAATGACTATGGACGGTAAGGCCAACCGACAACTAAATTGTATGATACACGACATAACTTCATCTTTTCCATCGTCAACTTTCCTTACTTATGTAGTAATATCCTGCTATCACCTCCATATGATGTCTACATCTTAACTTATTTCCTACCCACGGCCATGCTCCGATACGATTATTTTTTCAACCGAGACAGGCTTCTGATAAATAAGTGGATAAAATAGGGAATGTAATAATTTCGTAAATTCCATGGTCGTTATAATGACCTTGTAGGCAAATATAATCTATCGTTGGCCCGTATTTTGGTAGATGTTTTCTTATCAATCTTTAATTATAAGCTTTGCTTTTTATACTGAATTTGGTTACGGAACGTTACGTCTATCTATTCAAAACATAGAGTTTACAACAGTTGTTACAAATCAACAAAGGAATCTCTCTTCTCCTAGGCCCCTGATTCCATCTCTGGGATTTCTAGGGATCTTTGTTTTATGCCCTCCTCACAGATTTGAATTTTAGTTTCAAGATTTTTGCAATTGGTCAATGTTCGGTTTTTATACCATTGTTCACCAAAATGAAAACAAAATGTTCCTCAATAGTTTTTGTAGTTTTGTTACTGTATATTATATCTCATAGATTCCAATGAATAATTAAGCTTTATGTTTATCAAAAGTAGTTTTTTTTTACTTTTCCTGTCAAAGGCTTTGGCTGCTGTCTCACAACTCATCGTCTATTGAATTACGGAGACGAGATTTTGGGACAGCTCGATATGATATATAATAAAACACAAATAAAAACTTAATAAGGATAATACATGAAAGGAAAATAAGGTCTAAAATGCATGAGCTATTGTACATTTTTATTGCCAGTGGAATAAAGAATTACCAATAATATCCCCAGTTTTCGAGTCTACTGCCAGCATGCAGGCGAAATGATATTGACGACTATGATATAGGATTCTCTTAAATGCAAATCCACTTCTTTACGACACCAAATAGTTTCCATAAAATGATACAAATAACAAAAGTGCAGACTCGGTCACAGGGTTCGATTGAGGATCGTCTTGCAGTGACTTAATTAGTTGCATATGAGCTATAGACGATGTCAGAATAAACTTTTTTTTGCTAAAAATAATAAAATTAGAATCACATTCCAAAATAGATAATTGTTATCTTTTCTCCTGAGAGATGAACTTTTCACACCTATTGTGCATGTATAGTGCAGCATCGTTAAAAATATACTTTATTTTCTTATTACAGGACCTGCCTTGGGATATTTTTGAACTTGTGTACTGAAAGAATCAGAGAGAGCAGAGGTACCCGATATAATCTTTAGGCAACTTCAAGCTTTTGTTCTTTGATGCCAGTTAATGAACTTTCTAAATGCGTTTGTGTTTACAAGAATATAATTACTGGTAATTGCTGTAATGTCAATGGTGCATTAGCAGCATGTACGGTAAGTCATTAACAAGGATTTCCCACAATCAAAGATACGATATTGGAAATTTCCCATCCGATAGTATTGCTTAATCATGGTCTTTACGATCCTACGTTGTTTTGTCAAAGACAATGCATGAAGCAATGTCAAGTAATTTCAGTGGGTAAATGAAGATGTATTCATTGAATAATTTCTCAATTTTCTAAAAATCCTGAACTAAGTACACTCCCTATAAGTGATTGTCAAGGAGAACAGAACAAATATGGCTACTTTAACGAGTTCCAGTTTATGAAGGCTCGCGTAAGTTCTTAAAGGATCACCCATCTGATATAACCAAATAAACCCCGATTTGCATAGATTTTAATTACGTCTGACCCGGTATCCTGAAACAAGTTTGGAAAAACCTCAGCGAAACGAGGACTGACTTAGAATTCAGCTGTCAAGCTGGAAGTCAATATTGTAACAAATGTCACAGTACTCCAAGACCTTATTCATAGTTGTACAGATAATGGTAATGTAACTCAACAATTTAAGCAGAATATCAAATGTTTGAATTGAAAAAAATGAGACATTGTGAATACAATCCAACAATACCAAAAGGAAAAAAAATTCAACTTTGCAAAAAAAAAAAATTACTATGATGAACTTCAAATGTAAAATTAAAGACACAGAGAAAAAAATGAAGCATGGATTGTTAAACATTTTTGGCTTATTTTTAATAATACGAGGATTGTTCGAAAAGTTTGTGGACGATGCCAATCTTCGTTATATTACTCACTAGAAATTTAAAATAAGCACAATATAATATGTAAAAATATTGGTTTTGTTGATGTGTAAACTTTCATTCCATTGGTTTAAACAGAGATCAATATACTTCATTTTAAAATGTTTTGTACTCGCGGAGCACACAACACGGCAATGTAACGTCAAAACATAGCTTGAAGAATTTCTAAAAAATACTATCCCTATACATTTCACACAGTATCAATCAATATCCACTCATTTAAAAACCTTTTTCCAATACTGGACATTTTTTAACAATTGTTTCCGATGTTTAATTTCCTTTTCTTAGGGTTATAATTTGTTTTATTTCTTAACTCTGCTTTCACAGGATAAGCAACTCTGAAGCGCATATATCTTTCCTTACGTTCCAACTTTTTAAAGTTGCTGTTCAGATTTTTACAGTTAAACCATTTCTTCGCAGAAATATCCTCATCGATACAGAGTCTCTGTCACTGAAATACTGCCTGTACTATTTGTCCACACGTGCACAACTCGATTGGGACATATTTTTTTCATTCCTCCAACATTTTAAGAGTTTATTCAGGATTTTCCCTGAGACGTTATGCGCGATGTTGGTGACTTTGACGTTACGCTTTCATAGTGTTACGGAAAAATTGACGTAATGCTTCCGATAGTGTTACTTGCTTGACTGATACCCTATCGCTATCTCTTTGTACTTGAAATACGAGTTTAAAAAGTCATGGGCTATTTGTAATTAAACTAATGAACATAAAGGGCACTTTGGATTTGTATATATATGATAAATTTTGTTAATTACTCGTAGCAGTCTTAAACACATTTTCATGTATTACGCTGAAGCAGAACGAATTTTACGCGTCAAGAACGTTCACTGGACAAATATGTTGAACCTCCTAAATGTTGCGTAAAATATTAATTAATGGAATAAATTTTTAAATCTGACATTCAATCTAACCGTTTAGAGTAGCACATTTTGAACATTCAATTATTCCTGTAGTCGATGGGGAAATCAATATAGTTTAACGACTCGAAAAAAGGCACTGTCTAATTTTTGCACGTCATTATAGACGCTGGACATTTCTGTTGAACTTGTAGTCCAATTACTAGCTTCAAAGCATGCAGTTTGATATCAACATCAATGAAATATTTCAAATCTATAGAAAAGGCAAATTATTTTGATATATTTTGTTTCTATAAAAAATTTCTTGGAAATGAGTCAATTTATTGTTTATATTCATATGCACGTTCTTAATGAAGAGCGTTACGGATTCTTCATCTGTAAAAACTATCGCTTTCCATTTCTTGTCAACATTTAATGCAAAATCGTTTATGAAGTCACAAATGACATGGATTGCTCTTGTTTTGTGAGGAAAATGAAAATTCTAGATTCACTTTTGAACGCTCTACACACGAAAAATCCCTGCTAAAAAATGTAACGCGTTACACGCTTAAAATACCTTTTATTTGCGTTTTAAAATTCAACTTTTTGCATACAAATTATTTAGATGTTATTTTATTACTTGAAACGGGTAGTTCTGTTGAAAATCTAGCCATTCATACCAAAATCATACATATCGCGAGTATATTTTTAAAATCACCGAAGAGTTTCATAGGTCAGATTCTAAAATTGTAAATAGCACCAACATCGCGCGTAGCGTAAATCACAAAATTGCATCGTTATCTGCTGCTCCGTGACGTTCTAAAAACGTCATCGTTTCTGTCGTTTTCAATGAGATCTACCTATCTTCTCAAGTTGATTTTTTTTCAAAGAAGCAAAATATTAAGCCATCATTTGGAATACGAATCGATGAAACAATTCTAAATTTAAACCTCTAGGTTGCTTTTCGTTTTTGCTCCATTATACAGAGAATATGACTAAAGACATTATTTAGTGTATTTTTTGTAACTTAATAAATTTTGACCTGTTCTGCGTCTCAATTATTGCATTTTTAAAATCTGGATAAGTTTTGAATAAATCGTGATATTTAAAAAAAAATTAAACAAATTATTTGAATTTATTGTTAAAATATTTCTTCTAAATTTGGATAACATATGACGTCAAATAAAAAAAATATGACAGAAGTCCACGAACTTTTCGAACAACTCTCGTAAATGATGCTTATATCAAATCAATTAAAAATAAAGATATTGAAGACTTTCAAAGATGTTTACATTTTTTCCATTACCGATTACCCATATAAATCCATACAGTTTTAAAAACATTTTATAAGCTAACACTGAAGAGTTTAAAATTAAAAAAACATAGGTAATCAGAGATTACAGAGCTCACCTCAACAAATGTTGTCTTTAAGTAAGGCAAAGTCACACAATTAACCAACAAAAAGTGTACATTCCAAAAATGAAAATATTTAAGCAATTTTGATCTGATACTTTGAACAGACCTACATAAAAAATTTAAACTATGTAATCAAAATCCAGAATCTGAAGCAAATTTGAGAGTTTTCATCTCTTGATGCAACGTTTGTGCAAGTTTGGTTTATACAATGTTATGTAAGCCTTATAGTTTTTTGGTATTAGACTTGCACCCATAACTTTTACCTGGTCTATTATCTGAAAAATGCATGTCGAATTCAGCATCCGAAGCAAGTCCATTAGTTTGCATCCTAAGATTTATAGTCCATGCAAGTTTGCTCATTATAGGGCTCATAGTTAATTGGAAATGAAACATGCATCAAAAACTAACATTTTTACTCATCCACAAAAAGTAGGTCAGATTCAGCATCTGAAGCAAGCCCAGTAGTATGCATCCTTATATGTATCATCCATGCAAGTTTGGTCATTAAAGAATCATAGATACTTAGAAATGAATCATGCATTAACTTTAACCTATTCACTCAACCGGAAAATGTAGGTCAGATTCAGCATCGGAAGCAAGCCTGGTAGTATGAATCCTTAGATGTATCATCCATGCAAGTTTGGTCAATATAGGGCTTATAGTTACTTGGAAATGAAACATGCACCAAAAACTTTAACCTGTTCACTCAACCGGAAAATGTAGGTCAGATTCAGCATCCGAAGCAAGCCCGATAGTATGCATCCTTAGATGTATCATCCATGCAAGTTTGGTCAAAATAGGTCTTATAGTTACTTGGAAATGAAACCTGCACCAAAACCTTTAACCTGTTCACTCAACCAGAAAAGTAGGTCAGATTCAGCATCCGAAGCAAGCCCAATAGTATGCATCCTTAGATGTATCATCCATGCAAGTTTGGTCAACATAGGTCTTATAGTTACTTGGAAATGAAACCTGCACCAAAACCTTTAACCTGTTCACTCAACCAGAAAAGTAGGTCAGATTCAGCATCCGAAGCAAGCCCAATAGTATGCATCCTTAGATGTATCATCCATGCAAGTTTGGTCAACATAGGTCTTATAGTTACTTGGAAATGAAACCTGCACAAAAAACTTTAACCTGTTCACTCAACCGGAAAATGTAGGTCAGATTCAGCATCCGAAGCAAGCCCGATAGTATGCATCCTTAGATGTATCATCCATGCAAGTTTGGTCAACATAGGGCTTATAGTTACTTGGAAATGAAACCTACACCAAAAACTGCACCAAAAATGTTAACCTGCTCCAAAAACATTAACCTGGTCATTCCTTTGCTGAAATTGCAGCATCTGAAACTTTGAATGGTGCAATGAAACACACTAGAACCATCCTCCATGCATGTCTAATCCATATAGGACATAGAAGTAGTTAAAAAGAAAACTGCTCCAAAAAACTTAACCTGGGACGCCAACGCCGACACCGACACCGACGCCGACGCCGAGGGTATTACATAAGCTCCCCAACTTCGTTGAGGTGAGCTAAAAATGAAACGTTACAAACGGATATTAGATATATTCATTTAACATATATGGAAACATATGTTTACTTGTTATTTCATGATCTGTGGAAAGGTTTGTTTGATGAGTGTAAAATCTGTCCCAAATTTCATTTTTAATTATTAGGAGTAAGTTAATATAAAAATATCAAATTCCATTTTAAAGAAAATTGAAAAATGAGTGCTAACATTTGGGAAAATGTAAAGATGACCAAATATTATAAACTTCAGAATACTGCATTGGGATTGCATTTTAAGATGTCTCCCCCCACCCCCGGTGACCCCGTTTCCTACAATAAATATAACATTTCTTAAACAAAAAAAGAAACAAATACGTTTAAGATATTTTGTATCTTCAAACTGACCTGATCCAGAGCCAGTTTAAGTTCTGCTGACTGCTGGGTCCCCGCCAGTACCAGATCGCGACTGGAGTCGTGCATACTGAGATCATTGATATACAAGCCAGTCCTGAACATTGCATCAGGGTCTTCCAATCTAATAAAGACAGGATCAAAACTTATGTTAAAATTGAATGGGGCCATCTTTAAAATAATGTTCATTTCCCTCTCCCGACTCAAGGTAAAATATTTAGGTCGGTTGGTAGCTGGGCCCCCCCCCCTCCCCGAAATTTAGACAAATTTGTTGACTGAAATAGAAATATAAGGGATAAAAAATAAACTTCTTTTCTAGAAGATTTTTTTTAGATTTTGAATCGGTCCTTTCTATGCCATCCGATTGGGAGAGGGCAAACAAAAATAATTAAGATGGACCGGTTGATTGTTGATAATTTCATACGAGTAGAAAATTCTATATAAATTTAGCCAATACCATTTGATCTAATCAACTGACCCCATAAATTATCACCCCTGTCTATAAAACATAGAGTAAATTTAAGCATATTTGAAAATAATGCGTTTGATTGGATAGAGCTTCATTGACGTAACCTTACATGGGCGTGGCTAAGAATATAATGCACTCCCACTCCATCATGTACATCATCTGACCCTTCAGGTGAATGCAATGTCCGTCGTCTTCGTCTGAGGATTCCTTCTCTATACTGTCCTTTCTGGTCTCCTCTTGTTCTAAATAGTGAATCTTATTATTATGACTGCTCGATGTGATTAGGAAATGACACTAAAAGTTTTGATACCTTGATTTTTCATTAATGTGAGATTTTGAAAATTAAGTTGACACTCTTTTATCGTGGCATAACTTCTAACATAGTGTTCATGAATTTTCCATCTATGTTAAGATTTTGCTCTTTATTCGAGTACAATAATGAAAAAAATAGAAATCATACACTGTAGTTTTAAATTCTATAGTACCAATGATTTTACAGAAAATAAGGCTAATTTTCAATCAGGGTATTTTTGTCGCATGTCATTTATTTTTCCCATGAGTCTTGCAATATTTCTAAGTACCATAGATCACTTAATTTTTGCGACACCTTATTTTCGCAAGATAGTCATTGCTTCATTATAAGGGAGACAAAGATTTCACGAATTATGGTTATTGCTCTATATGATCCATAGTGATACTATTATACGCGAGAATAATATTTTCGCGAGCACTCTGTGTCGCGTAATCACGCTAAAATAAAGTTTAAATAAATAGTGATTTACTTTACTCATTATAAGTAGTATAAATCTGTCAAATGTGTATTTTCTGTATCGTCATCAATTAAAGAATTACAAACAATAATTTGCTTTTGTGTCAAATACAGTACAAACCAGACCCAACCTGACACCCAAGCAGTCCCAGAGAGCAGTCCCCGGGACTGCTGTGGGACTGCTTTAGCAGTCCCAGAAAGCAGTGCCCCGGACTGCTTTGTGTCAGGTTGGGTCTGGTCTGCTCCCCCCTTAAGTTTCTTCTAAGGAAAAAGTAAAAGTTTCTTGGGATATTACTAATATTGTAACCTTCTACCACAATAGAGGGTCCAAAAACTTCTACATGAGAAGAAAACACTTGCTGTTACTTTGACTCGACATTTCACTATATCGACAACGATTTATCAGTTAACAATGATCACTTCCAATTATATGTCGATTCGATATATCCCAGTGAACTTGAATTTAGAATTAAGAATAACTAAAGTTTGTTCTTCAATTTTTCTCAGTTTCAAGGAATCAGGACATCTCTGATTGACAATGATTCAGTACAATTCTGGGTCTGCAAAACAAGATTCAAGTTTCTTTAAAAAATCTCTGATACAGGAACATTTGAAATATGTAAGACGGTTATCCGGACAAATGGAGAACCTTCATGCATTTAGCTCAAAATTTGAGTTTTACTGCAGTCATTTTTCTTATAGAAGCCCAAAATCAAAGTAAATAGCAGACCTTTAATGTACAAAGATGAATGTACAATTGGTTTTTATATAAATAAAATCCTAAAAAGTGTAGGAAGAGTTATCTTGACAAATGCTCGACCCTTTATGCAAAATTTTGAAAATAGAAACTTTTTAAGCAGTTGTTATTTTTTTTAGAAACATAATCCAAATCCGCGCAAAATGAACACCTCTGATATACAATGATGACCGTACAATCGATCTTGAATTTTAAAAGAAAGCCACAGTGACTATCCTAATGGACGTTTGCGAAGAGCACTGACTTTTACTGTTGACGGCTTACTTTTACAAAAAGACAATGTACGGAAACTCTTTCACAAGGAAATATTTAGCTCAGCATTTAATTAAACGAAAACAAAGAGGTATTTCACAGCACATATAAGTTGCCCTTGACAAAAACGACAACCACCCTACACTCAACTCCCGGCCTTCACATGTAAATGCCCCTAACACCATACCTATGACCACTAGAAAGGTTTTCGTATCTACTGTCAATTCTGTACATCCGTACATGACACGGGTTTAAATGTCCAAGTAAACCGTCAACTGTTTAAGAGCTTCTAGAAAAAGTCCAATAGTGTAGGAAGACAAATGATGTTCCCAATATAATGCAGCATTCTGCCAATTTTTGCTAAGTTGAACTTCACGTATTTTTTGCATAAAAAATGAAAATCCTTATTCAAGTTCTGCTTTCAGGTTGATTAGATACATAACATCGGTAAATTATAAGTTTACTTCTAATTATTGCATACACTACACTTAAGCCATTAACATTTTTATTCAAGTATGTTAGCAATATTCTTCCTTTGGTGTTGACCTTTTTGAATTCATATTACTATACTAAATTAAACCCTAATAAACATCACGAAGAATACGGAAAAAAACATAAATCTGTATTTTCATTATCTTGACTAAATTTCAGAGAACTTTCTCTTGCTGGAGGTAAATCATTAAGCTCGGATTAATATCTTGTGACAGTGTTATTAGATTATTCCATTATTAGTTTTCTGAAGTTTGAGCGCTTGATAAATTAAACGAATTATAGCTTATATAATTTCTTTCAAAATTGTTAATGGATGACGGAATAAGTTTTTAATAAACCGAGTTTAATAAGAAAACTAATGGGAATTTGATTATATTAATTCAAGACCAATAAGAGTTCTAAAATATCTCTTGACTAGACAGAATTTTCTATCAATGATTAAAGAAAAAGTCATCAATAAACTTGTATTCCCAACAGCTTTTCCATCAGCTTCAGAATTATTTTAAGTTTAATTTGACAATAAGATCAATCTTTTGGTTTTAATGATTCCTCTAGTTCTCTTAATATATTTATTTTATAATGCAGTATCTGTATAAGTTCATCTGGAAATCTTGGTTTAATCAAAATATGCATCACAATGCATTTTTCTGGCATCCAGAAAAGGAAGTTTTAGATTTTTGGAAAAACTTCCTGATTCAAGCATTGCCTCGGTCTTGATGTGTTGCGTATATTTTTTTTAAGTAGAAACAAATAGCCTAGACAAGAACAAGACATTGATTAAAATAGGAAGTTGACTTAAAAAACTTCGTCCCCCCATTTTGGTTCCATTTAGCTCCAGGGTAAGTCTTCACTTACTTTGAAAGCTTTAACATAAGTAAATATTGTTATGTCTTCACCTGGTTAGTGTTTCTTTGAGAAAAAAAATTAAAATTCGTCTTTTAATTTATTTATTATTAACTTTCCTTGATAGGAGATTTTACTGTTTATTTTTTTTAAAAATCTGAACCATCTCTTAAAAAAATATGGTTTGTGGCAAATTATTGGTTGATATTCTTCTATTGGAGCTTAAACAGTCAAATATGTGACGGACAGACACACAGGCAGCTCAGAAAGACATATGCCATATATTTTTCTTTCAGAAAAAAAAAACGTGGGCGAGCTAAGCTCATAAGTTGCACCAAAAATTCTAATTCAGTTTTAAATTGTTAATGATGTTGATTTGAAACTAGTATGCTTGGCAAATAATATAAAAAATTGTGTTTCAGGAAAATTCTAATCACTTTAAAGATAATTGTATGCTCTTTTGAAGGGCTAATTGATTTATTTTGGCGGACGTTTAGTTAGCAAATAATTTAATGACGTTTATCTAAGTTAACTATTACGTCATGTTTAACAAAATAAGATTAAAATGCCCGGCAAAAGTGCAGAGGCTAAGTTATCGTTAAAAATTCATTATGCTAAAAATTGCGATAGTGTTATGTTATTTCTCCTTATGTTGTTATCAACAATAGAACAAGACATTAACTATCTTGTTTTCACTGAATTTAAAAATCAACAACAGTTCCCTTGTCACGAAGTGTCCCTATTTCAGGTTCATCAACACAGATATGAGAAAAAAAACATTCTTAGGATAATAGTAAATGTCTGTGATCCCTAAATAAAATATTTCGTAAAGAGATCATTTATATTACATTTTCGTAGAAAATTATGCTGATACCATTTGCCTTTCAATAAGAATTCAAAGATCTTTAATATGGAAATTCAATGGTATTTAGCAGATGTTAGTTAGAAAAACAAAAGGATATTGGACTTTGAAAAAGTAATATAACTTACCTGTCCCATTACTACTAAGTGTGTCGGAGCTGCTCATAGAGCGTTCTTTCTTTTCCTCTTTCGCGCCCTTTTTAAATGCCTCTCTCGCAATTTCTTCAAAAGGGCACCCTGATCTCTTGGGTGATTTGTGAGATTTCAATTCAAATACGTTGTTTGTATGTTCTAAAATCTACAATACAGTGAATTGTTGTTTCCAATATTAAGCAAAAGAATTATATATGTTGAAGAAATATTAAAATCAGACACAAGCAAATTAAAATCATTTCTTGCTATTGGTCTTGGCCTAAAGATACGCTACAGTTAAGGTGGTTTCACTGGGGTGGAGACTTATTTGTATGTCTCAATTTGATTCAAAGAACCTTTGGACATGTTAAATAAATTAGACTTAATTCCACCATGTTTAACATACCTTATCCCATTTAAAATCAATGAGTGGACGGGTCAATGTAAATAACGTATTAAGTTTTTGTCCTTTTGCTGAAGGGAAGACTGCCGCGATCCCTGAGCCAATTCCTTTGATTTCAAAACTCCTAGTGAAGACAATATGAAACGGAAAGAGATTAAAAAACATCACGCTGTTCAAAGGAAGAGTGTTCGAAGCGAATGCTTGCTGCTTCACTAATTCTTCTTTGTAAGCGTTATTTTCAAAATGTAACCTAAATACTACATGAGTAGTACTCTCCTGAATCTCTACACTGACTACATCGATGACAATTTCGATTTTGTAAAACAATTTTCCCACTTGTCGAATTTGTCCTTTCACATAGTGTATGAATCCCTTTCTCTTACTTCTGTAATGAAGTGTCAATCCGCTTGTACTTTCGTTTGTGCAAAAGAATGATGGCGGTTTCAGTTTTGGATAACTGAATCGTAAATATTCATGGAGATTGTCTAGTCCATTTAAGAAATCCCTCATGTTCCTACCGAGAACACTCAGAATTTTATCGTATCCATACTGACCAACAAAACTCACAAACGACACACCGAAGGCGTCCATTATATCATCTTCATTTATGTCCAAAACGAGAGAGCATGCGCGAGCTATGTCTGGTATGATTGTTTCTGAGTACCTCTTATGGGTGGAAAACGCCATCGTTTCCACGCGGGCCAATTTGCGAATTCTCTCCCAGGCATCTTCACCATACGTTTCTTTAATGTAATTTTCAACCGATTCTAGCAGTAACCCGTACATCTTTTTGGAAGACTTCACGTGACCAAACGCCTCATCTGTGTTTCCTTCGGGACTATCCTCATTTCTGAAATTTTTTTTATAAATATAAAAGGATGCTTGTGATAATTATGATAAAGATGATTTTTTCAAAGTAGAAAAAGTTTTTGAAAATTTTAGATGTAAAAATAATTTGATGATCACTTTTAAAAAACCTTACATTTGAATATTAAAGCATATTCTCATGAAATACCTTAAAATACTTACGAATCAGACGATATTGGACTAAACCTATTCATTTTCGACTTAAAATGACTGAGATTTATAGGAAAAACTTTCTATATCCAAAAACATGTTCACAAAAATTCTTAGCCCAACCGTTTCCATTTTATTTTATTTTACAATCAATTATAAATGCTTTTGCATACGTTACAATGGAAGCAGGTCTCTTGGAGACAGCTGATTCTATTTATTGTTTCCAATGCGTCAAGCGGAAACACGTGATCTCGCAACTTCTCGTACGCAATGTTGGGATAAGCGACAAATGACGGATAACCAATCGAGGTAGAAGACAAATTTGTAGTCACTAAAGACATAAATCCTGGGAACAATTGAGGTATCCTTTTTGAATAATGAACCCAGCAGTTCATAATTAAGAAATATGGACAAAAAGACTTCCGGGATGGCGAAGAGTTATGCATTTTCATTCATTATACGAATTTCTATTTGGTTATAACTTCCGCTATGCAAGTTTTTAGATTAACGCTGGTATAGAAAATAAAAATCTCAATCTTTTAAAATTTATCTGCTCTATGAGGCAAATCTCACGAGTATCTTTTCAAATCTATGTTCCTATTCCTTATATTTTCAAACAATGACAAAGGAATACATTTTGAATCGTGTTTTATCTTTGCTAGATCAGTATAAAATATTAAAAAGCACTAAATTTTGAATTTTAGAGGAGGAGATATCTCAAGTTTGAATGGTTATAATGCTTCTAATGAAATCCAGACAAAAGTGGGTTTCGGTGAACAAAAAAACTAAAATGCATTTGCCACTAAATGTTGACGCTGAAATGAATTGAAATATTGGTTAACTAGAACAAAATATGACTTTTTAAAACAAAAATAAAAAAAAGTATGCCTTAAGTTTAACCTTGAAATTTTATTTTTATTTTTACTCGTGGGAAAGAAGAGCTTTAATTGAAAAAAAAAATCAATCATATATACATCAAACTGACTTTCATGTAGTTTCAGGTTTTGTATCAAAGACGACCTATAAAGAATTCCATAGTAAAACGTATGCTTTGATGAGAAACCTATCATCCTGATATTCTGAAACACGTTTAGAAGTTACGAGAAAACGGTAGTAAAAGACCAATTGCAGGGCCACCATAAAACATCTCTTAATGAAGCAAAACAAGAGTGATTGCATGACACCGACTACTTAAATACTAGCGTGAAGATGGAATAAAACTGCTGATTGCTGCACATTAACACATTTACGAACTGTAGACATTCATTAATTAAGGCACACAACAAAGCAGGGCGGAAAAGACGCGAAAGACAATCGGAAATTTTCGTCTTTATCTTCCATCGTGCATGGCACTGATTTATACATGGAAAACTTTTTGGAGTTGAAAAAGTTCAAAGTATTATTTCAAGACAAAGCATAAAATAAACATAGTTCGTTAAAAGCAAAATACATTAAGCTAGTCAAAATAAAATAAACTACAAAAATGTCTCTGTTGAGCCAAGCATAAACAGGAACAAATTTAAATATATACTTACACTTTTCTAATGTTTTTAACTTCGTCGAACAAGATCTACTGTAAAATGTGAATCCCTTCTTTCCGTCAAAAAAGTAGATAGGAGTCCAATTCATCAGCTAGTTCATCCTTTTTAGTTATCTCATCCTGAAAAGTTTAAAGCTACACAATAAAACATTTATTAAAAAATTTCAGCAAGTCATGAGTGAAAAATTTAGTTACAAGATTAAGACATGTATCCTTAATACATCACTGTGGATTTTTCTAAGAAAAATGAATTGTCCTTGTCATTTTTTTTTTATTTATTTGTGTATTTTTTATTGAATAGTTAGTTTAGACGTTTTAATTTTAGACTTTGCTGAGTTCCAATTATACTCCAAAGACTTCCTTTTATTCATAAAATGAAAAAAAAAGAAATGAAAAAAGTATAATAAAAGGATTCGGAACGTCAAGAGAAAATAGAATGACATGCATTGAAGAGCTTCCCAAATGAGTGCATTAAGCTTTTCTCCTTGTGAAATACGACATTTCCGTGACGGAGAAAATATCCAGACCCAGTGAATGTAAGGAAAAAATGGGTATATATCAAAGTATCGAAAAGAGAATCCAGTCAAATGTAAGACGAAACCCTATAAACAACAGTCGTATCCTGTAATTGTAAAGAGATCTGCTCCGCTGCGACCCAAATCTTCCCGCGGCAGCCAAACTGATTATCATTAATGGCTGAAGACCAAAGACTTGTCGTCATTGTGACGATCAAGATACTCTGAATGAAATACTACTCTATCGAGGGACATTATAGGAACTGTTATGTATTCTGCAAACGTACATAATATGATTAACAAAAGGCGGCTTAACATGTTAATCTGTAAGAGACCGAAGTGACATGTGTGTGCCTCTTAGTACTCTCAGTGCTAAGATTAATCGTGTTACATAGAATGCTTAACCTCGAGATATCATAACTTTTAATTCTAACGATTGAACTGATCAATAAAGATGTAATAAAATAGAAAATTATAAGTAACTGACCTTGCAACAGAAGCTGTAATCTAAATGGTCACAAACAGTCTATGTTAATTATTGAGATTTAAATGAGTCTGAATTTTACATTTTCGTCTGAAAATTTGTTGAACTCCAAAAATTGCTCTTGACATTCATTTAACGTGTGTAAGGTTCATAATGAATTTACAGGTTTCAAAAAAGATACAATTTTTATAAACCGAAGGGAACCAATGAAAATCCATATACATTTATCAAGATTACCAAGACCTAGAATTAAGTTACCTTAAAAGAGATCTGTACAAATATCATTGTCATTTGTAAATCTATACCACTGTGTAAAATATTTGGTTCCATAACAATTCTCGGATATTCTGGTTTTTATGACGTAGTTATTTCTTTTTTATATTTACAAATTCGCCATTTCTTTGATTATTCTCTGAATACAAGTCAAGTGGCAGGATCATAATTCACATGAGGATGAAAACACATTGTAAGTGCTTATAAAATAAGGAACTATGGAATGATTGTAAACATTCTACAACAGCGAATACTCTCCATTCAATAAGGAAAATGAATATCGCATATTTTTATGCAAATATAAAGTAATACCCAGAGATATCGTATAAACGTTGCATATAATTGCATATATAAAGATAACTGTATTTGGGACATGAGTGGGCACAGAGAAAGTTGCATACATATTAATGAAGATGGACACTTAAAGATTAATACATGTATATAGTCAGCAGGCTTAATAACAATATAAACAGAACATAAGAGGAACGTGCTAAAGGGCGTGTTACAAGGGATGAAACAAATATGATAATAATTTCCTTAAGTAAATTTCATATATTATTTTTAGTCCCAATAACCTAACAGCATGGTGTTTGCTTTCATTTAATTCTAAAAAAGTAAGTTCACGGTAATGTTTTAAACGTTATCCCTTCTTTGGATTCATAAAGAAAATTGTTTGTAAAGTAAAAACAATTGTTGAAATGTGATATGTTAAAAAGAATAAAACAAACCCATCGAATCACCGGCCCATTAATTACAACAGACAAATAAACAAATAAATACGCATTACACATTACTTTCTACATTTTCAAATATAACTTGGGATTTAAAAAGCCTCTAGATTTTGTCTTGAAATATTAAAATGATTAACCAGTTTTTATAACGCTATTGGAAACTATATAAAAAAGGCACTTGAGAACTGCAATATTGAGTTAGCAAAACTGTTATTATTGAGAACTGGTTTCATTTTTGAGATCTGCACCAAAACAATTTATAAAATATCGTATTGTCATTTTATTTTTACACTGAATTGTCTACAGATTTTTCGATCATGACAAAGAGCAACCAGCGGTTGTAACCAATTGACAGAGGAACACTCACTCCTTAGTGGCACCTGATCCAGTGCACCTCTGAGGTTTTCAGAGGTGGTTTGCTATCTCAGTTTGTATTGTTTGAATGACAGTTTGAGCTTCATTACCGTATGTTATCTCTATATCTCCGAGAGAGTAAATTTCTTGATATTGATGTTATAAATTTTCATTCTTTAATTTCCAAAACTACCTTTTGTGTGATGGTTTTGCCAAAACAAAACCAGAATAAATTATTAAAACACATTTATGATAGATTGAAAGATTAAAGATGTTATTCCAACAAACATACACCGTATAACCTATTTTGTTTCTATTCACATACATATATTGAAATAGTAATGCCTTTTGATATTTTTCGTTTAAGTGATTTCAGATACTGTTAAAATAGTTTGTAGATAATAATAGTTTTTAGAAAAACATATTCTATTCAGCCTATTTTCTTCACTCCATAATAAAATATATGTACTTGTACTTGCAAACTGCTTTTAAAGGACGATTTCCAAAAAGTGAATATTCATATATGAAACACATAGGTTTTACGTATACATCAATTTGTAAACCGTGTTGTTTTATGAACTTATTATTTTTAAAAGTTATCAAAATCAAGTATAGCCACGTCTTATAAATTAGCACAGTGGATTAATTAGTGATTCGGATAGGATTTGGGCATTAGAGTTAAAAATTACACTATATCAAATTACGAGAAATTTTGTCTTTGAAGTTTGGTGGCACCCTAATACATAACTCCATTTTACTTTTCTTTTTGGGGAAATAAACACGACATTATATATTAAAAAAAAAATATACCGTCATATGTAAAAATTCAGTTAACTTAATCAATGATGTTTTTCTTTGCTTCGTTGGGTTATATTCTTTGAAAACCGGAAATCATCACAAGATTGTAAGCAACCAACAAGCAAAGACATCAAAAAGCAACGGAATGAACACCGATTATTATGAGCAAATCCAAATAAAATCACCCATCAATTAGGAAAATCCTTTCACTTTTATCCTTGTTCAAATCGTTATAATACATTTGCACATCAAAAATATGGTCATGTCAAAAGGCTCGAAGCAAACAAGGCAAACAAAACACCATTTACGTAGTCATGGAAAGAAAAGGGGTATAAAAAATTGTATTCATCATTTTGAGTTACGCAAATATATAGTCTCCATTTATAACTTTTATTGTTCATAATTAGTATAATATTTTTAATTTAAATAAAAGAAATTAAGTCAAGAATTGAGTTTACAGCTTTTTTCTCTTTTTACAGCTGTGAAGAATAGGGGAAAAAAAGAATTGCCCTATTCATTGATATTGTATTTGTTTGCTCTCGTACTACGACAATCAAGCGCATGCTGCTGAATTTTTGCTTTGCTTGTCTTTGGTTTACACAGTAAACAAAAAACTTTTTTTTCCGATAACACAAATCAAGTTTAATACTCCTGATTAAAAATAGGCACATATGCACTATACTTGACTTACTACGTCTTCCATAAAAAGGGAAAAAAATTGCTATTGATTATAAAACGATCCCTATTAGCACTATGCATAAAACTGATAGAGGTTAGCAATCATAAAAAAAATTGTCAATTTATCATTACGTGATGTGAACATATCTTTACGTTATGTCCATTTTTTATGAGGTGATGTAAATATTTCTTAACATCATGTCAATGCTGCATTGCAAAGACGAATACGGAGAAGGGATTTTTTGAAGAACGGTTTTATTAAGCAAAGGCTAGAATCAGATCATTAGACGCAAGATGAAACTTCAGGATTTATAAAACCAATGCTAGGAATAGATCATTCGGCGCAAGCAGAATGATCTAAAAAGAATGTTGTTATACTAGAAACCTCATTAAGTACATGTAACAGCAATTGAATTACAATATCCATTTATCAAAATACCTTTTGTTTTAGGACTCTAACTCTTCTATCAAAGGAAGAATGCATTTTAGAAAAATACCATTTTCATGTAAATTTTCATAAAGAGTTGACATAATGTAATGGAAGGTTGACACAATGCAATAGTAGTGTGGGTTAATGTCATAAAGAGTTGACACAATGTAATGGAAGGTTGACACAATGCAATAGTAGTGTGGGTTAATGTCATAAAGTATTTGCAATAGTAGTGTTCTGCTATAAGGCAGTGATGGCGTTCCATACTCATGTAAATTTTGTATTTACTGCCCATCCGGTAAATTCAAAACGTTCAACATAACACAACACTTGTTTTATATGTAATTCATTCTTTACAATACGCAATTTTTACAATAAGATGCCTATTGATAACAAAAAAATATTATGCGTAATCACTTTATATATTAGAACAAAGACAATTATAATACATTTATTTTATAAGAAATGATAAAATTCAATATGATGTACATGTAGTTCAATCAACAAAAACTTGAATATTATCAAAGCAGATTTTATTGTAAACACGCACAAATTCAGCTAATAAAATTACCCTATAGGAAAGAATATCAATTTGTCCATTTTCCAGAAAAAATTGACGACTAATTTACTCAGCAACAGTTGTCAAAGATGACTTTGCCAATATTATAAAAATAATGGAAAATTCCACAGAAATTTTTTTTTCTTACCTGTCTATGTTAATCTCGCTCCAAGTTTACAAGAACACACGATCATGCTTAGGTAACTTCGCAGGTGTCCAAGAAAATAAGGTTAATTACTGCAATATTAATTGTATTGCTGTGGATGAGTTCTGCTTAATGTCCAGTAGAGATTGGTCAATGTGGTCAAATGCTTTCTTCGTGTGCTGCAATCAAACCAAATAGAGATAATTGGGAATTATAGGTTACCATCGTATTGAAAAAAATCATAGGGAGACATACTACTGTGATAGAAAATGAAGATATCAATAAGAATATTACAAAAACAGAATTTTTTAATTAAAAATCTCTGTTAATTTGCTTTATTTAATTAGGTGATGACACTTTTTGTATGAAAATGTGCCGTATCTTAACGGTTATTATCATGGTCAATTGATATGAATACGTAACTTTTCACATAAAGTGTTCCTTAAATAATTAATCAAACACGTTTGATATCTATTACAGCTTACATTTTTGAATTAATTAATGTGATGCTATTAGATGTATGTCTAAGTAATAACTGCTGCGCCACTTACAATGGTGAAAACACCTTCATCTTTTATTTCATTTTGTATCGACATATGAAGGCGTAAACTCAGGAAAGAAACCATTCTAATATCAAGTTATCCAATACAGCTTTTGTATAGGAATGATGTCATTTTATACACAAGAGATTTAAAACGTCACATTTATACACAGGGGCCAGTAACATGCTAAATTTGAATTTACGTATTGACTATATATATATATATACAAAAAAAGATCTTTTTTTGTATATATATAGTCAATACGTAAATTCAAATTTAGCATGTTACTGGCCCCTGTGCATTTATACATGTACCTATTTCACAAATTATCTACAGACATATGCTATAGTTTTCTTGTAATTTAGTGATGTGCTTAAAGTACATTGAGAGAAATGCATGTTCTTCTTGCATTAAGATATCTGGTTCTCAGGGGTTTTATTTCACAAAAAGAGCGGAGGTGTATAATACGAGAACAATCCAACCCTGCTCTGTGAAAAAAAAAACGTAATTCAATTCCAACAGTTCATAAAAAGTTTTTAAAATAAAAACCTGCAGTCAGTTTCATTGTTTTGACACATTTTTCATTAATTTTATTTTATTTTAAAGAAGTTAGTTCCATTCCTTAGACAATAAGAGGAATACTTGTTCTGTATTAGAAAACGATAGGCACTGCATTTCCGTATGATGCAGCAACCACATTAATAATGTTGGTAATCTTTCAAGCCCACAAAGTGCCAGAATAAATGTGATAAGACATTTTAACAATACATCTAGACGTAGGGCGTAATCATGAACATCGATCATACAATAGGCCAAATATACATGAAGTGACAGTCTCATTTGATTCACTTTTATCTTACATTAATAAACAATAAAGTCTTCATCAAATTTGAACTGAACTTTATATTTTAGAACGGACTTCTTGAAAAAGCGTAAGGAAGACCATAATTGGATTCTTTAAATGCAGAAAACAATGTAGTGGTTTTTTTTATTCCGATACATTTCAAGTGGAAGTCTACAAATCCCCCTAAAGATATTCCCACTGTTGCCTAAACATTTTCAATTAGAAACAAACCTTACAGTACAGTGTACCTATATATTGAACATCTAAAACAAATACAGTGCACATGTTCTTACTCTGTCTCTTATAACATAGTTTTACAGGATTCTTCAGGTGATATTAATATAGTTGAAAATGGACATATAAACATCATGTTATCATTTAAAAGGGTCCTAAGTACAGAAAGAATCATAAATATTTTCTTTTTTATAATAAATTCTGTCCAGAAAATTGCCAGAAGTAAGAAGGCAATATGCAGACCACATATTCCTCCGTTTTCAAAAAAATAGGGAAGTATTAAAAGAATTGGAAAGCCAACATGAAATGTATGATTAGGTTCACAATGACCTTGTCAGCAAATACAGCCTATCATTAATTCGTATGCTGACTAATTTTTACTTACAAATTTTTAGGTCATTATTTACACACTGATTTGCCTACAGATATTTTCATTTTTTACAACAAAGTAAAAACGGCGGTGGTGATCGGTGGTGGTTTTCGGTCTGTTACAATATATTCCAGAAATAATGCTATGAAATATGCATAACAAATGTTAAAATTCTAAAGAACTTTTTAAAAGTTTAAAATAAGAACACTATTCAGAATCAAATATATCAAATGATATTACTTTAAAGCACTTTATACAACAATTCCTCATAATAAATTAAAAAAAACTTATTCTCTGATATTATAGACAAACTCTTCTTCAAGAAAATGGAACTAGAATATTTTTAAATTCTTCCGATTGTTCACGTACAAAGTTACTTTGAAAAAAAAAATCTGACTACACATAAGACTTCTGAAGATAATATTTTAAGGATGCTGGAGTTCCTTGACGACCTTGGAGACAAGGTTTTCCAGCAATCTATTTGTATTCCGATGGGCTTTAATTGTGCTAATTCATACGCTTGTCATGTTTGTTTTCCTATGAAACAGAATTTAGTCAAAATTTTCTTCAACAGAAGGCTTTCGATGGCCTTCACTCGACTCTCAAATATATTGATGAACTTTCACATCTATTAATAAACCATGTTAAATTTTATTCCTATGTCGACTCGATATATCCCATGTATTTAACTCAGAATAAAAGACACCACAAAGACTTTACAACTCTTTCAACTACGTGGATGTTTTACAGACTAAAGACGTTAGGGACCAACTAACAACTAAATTGCATGTGATACAAGATGACTTCAGCTTTCGCATCGTCAACTTTCCTTATTTATATAGTGATATATATACCATTCTTTTATAGGTCTTCATTGCAAAAATAAATATTCAGAATAGTTTGAAAAAACAAGTTTGCTGAAAAATCATATCAGTTTCAGAATTTGGGAAAATATGAGGTCTCAAAGCAAAAGAATATTCTCATCCAGAACGCCTTCATAATTAAAAAAAAAGTATGCATTCTATTTCTGCATTAATGACCTTTAAGTAATTGTACCAGTTCAAAATATGACACACCCTAGTTGTACATAAACATATCATTCCAGTTGTACAATGAAAAGGATGTACTTTAAACTTGTATCAATGTATTTGTAATAGTCACAAGATATAAGTTTTTTTTCCGATTCAATTTGATTTTTGATGGTGATAAAAAGAAAGATGTTATCATGTTTAATCTGCCAAAAAGAGCCATCGAGTCTTGGTTTCTTGCTCATATCTTCCGCCTTTTGCTCAAATAAACGATTCTGGATGGGTTTATGGAAACAAACATTAAAGCAAATATATATTTAAGATAACAAGTTCATGAAAAATTATTTGAATTATCGGAAAACGATATCATATAAAATATTTTAAACTGTTTTTATTTTTTTTATAGAAACTTCTTGCTCTCATAAAGATGTTAAAAGTAGACAATATTATCCGTGTATTTCTGAATGAAATTTAAGGCATTTGTATTTTATATTCGGAAACAGTGAGTGTGATTATAATCTTCAAAACATCAAGATTATTAGATTTTGTTCCAAAAACGAAAAGAAATATTTACCATCAATCTGTATAGGAGTTAACACTATAATCCCATCTCTGACTTTTTAAATAACCGTGTTTGCTCTACTCCTGATTCGTATTTGTTTGAATGGAGCTTTTGACTGGACCTTATGCCTAAAGAGCTTGATGTTTTGTATCTCCATATTTCATACCTTTCTTATGTGTTTATGTGTTTTTTATACTTAAAATAGTAACGCATACAATATTAACTTTTCCAAACCGGATTCACTCATTGATTTTCATGTCTCTAAATTGAACCTCTCTGTCAGATTTTGAGGACAAACTAATTTATATAATAAGCTTCATTGCTGTATATTCTTTGTGATAGTTGAGTTTTTCTGAATAATGGAAATGTCGTTTTCTCTTATTTGTAGTAAATAAACATGTACAATTACAAAATAAACAAAATGAAATTATCGTTAATGTGATTCTACCCTCGTTTCTTTAATTTTTCCTTCTCTGTGCCTTGAAATACTTGACACTTTGTATTTCGCAAGTATATAACTTCTATAAAATGACATCTTTTTGTTGACATAAACTTTTCTCGAGCTGATACCACGGATGCAAAAAGTTCACGCAAATTTTGCTATTTATTTCTTCCTGTCCCGTTTCGACTGATTTGTTTCCACCTGCCATTGTTTTTATTTATCAATGTGCACGTGGATGTAACAGACAATGACCTCATAAAAATGTCCTTTGGCCATGCAAGAAAATGCTACACTTTATGTACATATATATACCTATAATTTACACATAGAAATCGATTGACAACTTGGATCTAATACGCACCTCCCCAGTAGCAATGATAATAGGGCCTGATAACAGAGACAATCTCTCTCTTTTTTTTTATTTATATACACACTTCATAAATTCTCAGCCGTCCGTGACATGGCCTATAACCTCTTCTGTTTTATTTTCAGTAAGTGTGATGTTTGTTTTTGTTTTTGTCTTCCAGATTAATTTGCAGCAATGCTTGAAAACGCCACTCATAATATGCAATTACTTTACATGTTACTTCAGAATCCATTTTCTAGAGACAAGCTTTTATCCTACTTTTGATAATCCTTTCTCTTCTAGGTTTTCCCTTAACCTTTTGAAAGCATGTCTGTTCTAAAGTTTTATTTAGAAACTATGTGTATTTTTTAAACTGATAAGCTACTTATGACACGAATTGATACTCGTTTCTGAGATAAGGATTTGTGTTTACTTAAAAAATAAAACTAGTTTTCTAAAATAGATAAATTTAGTGCTGGTCACTTTTTTGTTCCATGTATGCTATGCAAATTAATCAGAAGTGGTTGGGATAAGAGATGGTGATTCTTTAAATTAAATTTCGCGATATTTTGAATGAAATCAAGAAAATGATGGGAAACATATCATATTGAAATTCCGAAGGTTTTATAAAATAAAGATAGATGACTGGTATATGCAGCTATATATAAGGTATACTAGTATTTGTAATTCTTATTATTTTACCGTTCTCTGATCAATAGTCGTCACAAATGCAGAGATCAGTAGATGGCAATGGAAATATAAAAGCGTGCAATAAAATCTTCTACTTAACAAGGAATATATTCGTGATCTTCGAGGAAATAAGATTGACCTTACACTTGATATAATCCTAGAAAATCTCTCCAAAATCAAGATTTTGATGAACAGGAGCCCTCCCTAATTCAACAGTAATAGCCTAAAGTAAACAAAGAGATGATTTTTGTCGTCCATAGCGGGGTTTGATGAGTCGTCATGCGATGACTGTATTACTGTGTGTTAAACGAATCTATAACCCCACATGATAAATTCTCGGTGCAGAGTATTTCACACAGTTAACCATCTGTTGCAATTAAGTACAGGGGACCCGAAACGTGATCTAGACATTACACATCTAGAGTGAACAGACTTCACAGATAGAAAGGAAGAAATGGGGCCTTTTGTAACACATTATTGTGGTCTACGATTAAAGCAGAAGGCTTTATGATTCTCTAGGTGTTGAAATGATAAATGACTTTTCGAGCCTCTGTCTAGCTTACTACACGAACTGATTAAATACTATGATCACAGTGGCAAAGTTGACACATGCAATGAGAGTATAATTATTTTTGATTTTTTATGAGAATACTTGTAGCAAAAATTATTTTCAAAATGCACATAAAAAGAAATAAAAGAAAAGAAAAGGGAAAAAATTCGAATACTCAAAATTCATAGATATTTTTAAATCAGATGCGTGCTGTTAACGTTCAAATTGTATTTGCGAAACAAATTGGTAGTTTTTTTCTTGTAAAACAAAAAGTTCTATCCAATTTTAAAACCGGAGATAAGAATGCTTTCTACTCACATGTGATTTGTCGTCTGCTTTACAGCAGGTCACTGTCGTATGCTCCGAAAGACTGCTGTCTGCTGCAATGTGAAGTCAATACTAATGAATGCAAAGAAAACCACGATTAACAAGTAACAAGGGTAAACGGGATGCTAACACGTGGTATACTGTGACACAAGACAATTATATTCCAGGGGTATTTATTGATTTGTTTTTGTTTCAAACAAAACCTAATCTTGCAAATATTTTAGTGATGTCGGGAGAGGAGCAAACGCCGGATGCATCTTATAAATTTCCGATTTTGCGGAAAAAAGTAAACCTCTAAAAAATGGTGTGTTTCTGTAAGGCGTCGTATGTTTTATCTTTGAATCAAACTGTCAGAGATTGAGAGGCCAAAGTGTAAACAGTAAAGACAATCTGTGATAATATAACTATTTAATCCTGCCCCTTCTTCCGTGGGAATAATCACTTGCTATCGAAAGTGTATTCCTTCAGAAGCATCTAATCAGTAAAATATTTGATATGTTTACTTCCTTAATTTTCAGCGATTTGGTCCACTTAATACACTGATGCACCATATGCATCCTTTTCCAAGACAAACACTGATAACCCTTTTATCCCTAATCTACGAAGATTTTTTTCTTAATGCACATTGCACAATACACATTGTTTTTTTTTTTATCTTCATGTTCTATAAATATCCAGCCTAACGAAGGAGGAAGGAATCAGACTTCCTTTATCTTGAAGTTTAATGATACAAAAAACAAGTCCTTTTGTTTTCCAGATACAAATCAGAAAGAAAATATTTTTTGGGATATAATGCAAATTAAATGAAATCACCTACGGTGAATCTTTAAATTATTACTGGTTAAATGTCTCTCCAAATTTCCGACTGATTAAAATCAGAACATCTGTTACAATTCGTGATCGTATTTCATGGATCATAGCAATCGGAATATAGCTAGATATATCCTTTCGCAATCAGGTCTTTCGTGACTTATTTCTATATTTCCCCTATAGACTCAAATTCCGTCTGCAATCAAAATGCAAACACTGGAAATAGGTTTAAATGATGCACATAAAAAGTTAAATTTGAGCGATGTAAGAATTTTACAGACTATTGATAACAAGTTTTTTTCAAGACAGCGGATTTCCTTAACATTGTTTTTAAAAATAACAGCCGTAGCTTGGTATAATATTAACTTTAATTGTCGGAAGAATTTAATTTCTGCTTCCTCGTGATTTTTTTAGCCTCTTGAAGTCAGTGTTTATATGCAGGACAACTTTTTTTTAAAAGCCATAATTTCATAAAGGAAAAGGTAGTATAACGGCAATTTATCTTATACATATGGTAAACTCTAATATGTTTCAATAGAAACAATTTTTATTTGAAGAATTTTAAGCAAAAGCTTCTTCATATATATCGTATTAGCATTGAAACATGATGTCTCTACTTAGAAAAGAATTTAACAAAAGGTTTCAGACTGCATTCTCAATGTATTTTCTACTTTAAAAACTGACAGGTGTGTTAAAAAAACGCACTCGATAAAGGTTAATACAGTACATATGTTGTCTTCTGCTGTCTCTCAACCTAATATATATTTCAAAAAGAATGTGGAAGCTTGAAATTAGAATATAATCTGGAAAAATGACAAAACGATTGTTAATGCATAGAGAACAAGGAGATGGGCATCTGCGATATTAGATAGTGGCTATGATATAATACTGCAATGTAATTCCAGCCCTGTAATAAAATAAACTTATTTTTGATTTATTGTTTGATCTTGAATTTGTTGTTACTTCCTTAAAAAAATTACTTTATAGATGCACCAAGTTTAGATAATTTTCGACTATTTGACAAAGGATGCGAGATCACAATACCAACAACACATCACGTGATAACTAGCTTTATTTTGCTAGAATTGAATTTTGTTAAAGATACACACAAGCCAAAAGATTAAGAGAAATATAAATCCAAACCAAAGATATCGGGTATGAAATCCTGAATTCCAATATACAACATCTTTCGATTAGTGTAAATACAAATCAAGCAGAATATATATTTGACAAATGAAGGTCGTATGCCTTCATTTTGATTGATGAAACTTCAAATTATTTCACATAATGATACATTTCCAGTTTTCTGAAGCATGAAAAAAGGTGAGTGATTTAGCACTAAGAATGGCCTATTGCTCCATACTACAATGCTGAAGTAAATGAGCTATGAAGGCAGTGTTTATCTAACATGCATAATGAATGAATTATATTGAGATAACGAACAGTATTCAAGCTCAATAGTCCATTCACACAATATAAATCACAGCCTTGAAAGCATAAGAAGTAGGATCAGGTGCCATGGAAGAGTGAGCACTCCCTGCCGACCTGTCACACAGGCTGTGTACTACTTGTCATGATCGGGAAATAACGGAAGCATCCATATAGACAATTCAGAGTGTAACAATTAGCATGAAAAACTTTAATCGGCTTTTGTCTAAAAGATTCATTTAATTTGCTGACAAGGTCTTTGTATCGACCATACAGAATTTGCAAAATTATGACTTTAAACGAAATTGTGATATTCTTGTTACATCAACTTGTTGATCAATAAATTACCCCGTTTTAGAATATCTCCATTATAGAGCATGCTCTTGTGCCTCGAATCAAATAAGTGATATAACCCCGCAGATGATAAGGGTATATTGCTGCATAAGTAATGGAATTCAATTATTGAAATCATAACATTTATCATAAAGCTTTGATGTTAAGTTACCATTATGATATAATAATATTTCGTTAAAGGATATCTATTTGGTGAAAAGTAGTCGATTTGATCCAGACACAGTATGGGCTTTTCATGTTGCATTCAGCTTTAGCTTTTCTTCGGTATTACTAACGCCTGGAAAAGTGTTATCTTCTCTATTTCCTTAGCAATAAGCTATCCTAAAGTCTGTATCCCGCTATCGACTATCAGTTTGCAGGACCCAGAGAATATTGTCACTTCGTTTTCACAAAAGGTTTTCATTTGTCCTCTCTCTCTCTTGGGAAATGATCAATCAGTCCATTATTCAAGCAACAAAGTGGAATCCCTCGGCAGTTTTCCTTGTCAGAAACGATATTTTACTGTTAATCAGCACAAAATCGGAGTCAAGTTATTTCATGATAGATTAGAGCGAAATTAAAGAAGCCGGGGATAATTCATACGCAGTTAAACTTGCAAATTTATCTTTATAAATTCCTATTAATAAATAAAGAATACGTAGACATTTTTATGTGCCTCAATTAAGCATTTGACGTTCTATTATTAGATAAATCAACAATTTAAAGAGACATTATTCAGGTACAGTGTAAATAATTAGCTATTAGCATTCAATTTATGATAAGTTTAACATTCAAATCAATTTGTTATAAACTGATTAAGGAAGATGAAAAAAAAAAACTTACCGTGAATTTTAAACGATGTAACACAGTACTTTAAAAAAAATTAGAGCTAGGTTTTCACTCGATTTAATCTCTATAGAATTGATATTTCTTTAGGGTTAGTTATAAGCATAACCCATTTCTTAAGCTGAACGAATTTTGAAACAATAACACGATATGGTTTTTACTGTCAGCAGGTAATAAAATCACAAAAAACAAAACAACGGGCAATTCCACACGACACGGATATTCACTTTCAAAGAGCGCAGAAAGTTACTGAAATGTGAAATGGCCATTATTTTATAATGAAAAGAAACTGTTAAATGCCTCTCCACTTACTTTTCGTAGACCATGTGTTCTATCTATTTCATCGCATCGTGATCGCTGGAGATACCCATCCGTTTGTTTTGTAGGCGAAGAAAAACACCACGCAAAACACTCAATAAGATTTAAAGAAATTCCCTCATCTGATACACTCTAAGCTGATATACATGTATACTTCAACGAATATAGAACGCAATATTTCATAGCTACACGGAATCAATCAGTCCTTACAGTTTGAATTTTGCTCCAAAATTGTTTCAATTACATCGACAGCTCCTACGAATTAAGATTCAAAATAAACTCAGGAGAAAAATATTATGTATAAAGGTATATAAAATATTCATTTTTCAAAAGCATAGAAATAATATAATAAAGTATGAAAATTCCATTATTATTTCATCTAAATGCTGATCACATGTCGTAGTTCATAATAGATTAAGTTACAGTACGATCTCCGTCGTTTTTTATGTTTGTATGCCGAATAACAGAGAGTCTTGAGAGACATGTAATTTCGATATAAATATAATTCGACATTCATAATCTTATCTTTGAGCTTTCAGATGAAGTCAAAATCCTATATTGGGTTAATTGAGATCACTGGGGAGGCTATACATTAGACGCTTCTCAGAGATATCTAGACAGAAAAGCTTTTTACCCCCTTTGTTAAAAAAGCTAGAGATAACGTCAAAATTGATAGATTGTTTTGACTTTGATACAAAAATTCGCGGTTTTTTATGCAAACGATTTTGCTAAAAAAGTATAAATATAAAGATGGACAAAACGTTTGAAGGACAATGGGATAAAAAATTCTGAAAAGAATTAAATTGACAATATTCCCCTTTAATTGTGTATTGATGTAATTCACTAAAACATGTTTCACACTGTTACATGATTCACTATAAACATGTAACTCATTGATGTTAATCACTAAACCAAGTAACAAATTGACAAGAGTTTCCTGAATTCGGGACCATAAAACGTAGATGAGCTCACTTTTAATCTCAGTCTCACCTTTCATCCATATATTCCTTTTTTAGAAAAGTAGGACTGAGATCAAAAGTGAGCTCAACTAAGTCGTATGACCCCGGATCCTGATCTACAATAAAGATTTTGTGATAAATGTACATTAATTTGTGTTATAAACAGGAACTTTTACCTTTAGTTTGTAAAAAAAAAGTTCCTGACTAATTCATCCGCAACCCTCTAATCCGATTTAATGCAACTCATCACACAACACCCACCGTTATAATAACATTGGGTGTTACATTAACTTAATATATGAAAGAGAAGATAGAAGCATTTTTTTAAAAAGTGTACCATACTTTTCATGTCATTCGTTTTTGATCTAAATAATAAAAATAGATAGACTATCAGAGATATCCGCCAAAAAACAATACACGCAGTCTTCAGCAAAACAAATCTTATGTTGTTTTCTCTGCTCAAAGAGAGATTTTTTCATCCTTAAAATCCGCCAATGGCACCATCCCTATCCGTTACTCCTTTGAGAGACGGTGCTTTGACATAATAAGCAAAGTCTTTGCACTAAACCAAAGTACAGATAATAGTACATCTTTTTTATGTTTAGAGTTGTGATTGGAACAATTAGAAGAGTTCATAAAAACAGGAAAACTTCCTTATCGCAACATCGTTGAATAGTATTTTTCGAAGATAAATTAGTAACCCTCATGACGCAGTGGTAAGAGAGTTTGCTCCCGAATTTTGGCGTTAGAAGATAGTTCTTTCATCGCAAGTTTGAATCACCTGGCTTCGGGGCCACCAACCCTGAGATTTGAGCTGAGATTTTTATAAGTTGGTGGCCCCGAAGCACTGTTCTTCAGTGAGACTGTAAAATTGACCCCGTGTCGGTGAAGGAACAGTCACAAC